AGACACATTCATGGGGGACCCAGTATTTGTTATGGTAAGTGTTTTGGTGCATTAAAGTTTGTGCATGTGCACTCCTAATTGGCACAGTATTACCGTACTTTCCATGCGTAAGCTGGTAGTGCTAGCTAAGACACTCTACCATCGAGACGAAGTGTAATCATCATCTGCGAGTGTTTAGGGGCTGTTATGGTGAATATAGGGCAAATCGTGTGCTGCCCACAATGCAATACCACTTGACACCCATTGCACGCCCACCCAAATGAAAAAAGAAATTGCACGCTCAACTGAAAAATCAACCAAAGTTCGCAGCAGACATTAGAATGTAAATGTGAAGTAATTAAATTAATGAAAAGACAACTTGCCGCTACCAGAGACTGAACCTGTATCCTTCGAATAATTTGTCCGATGCTTTACCAATTGACCTGCAGTGGTGTTCGTCCTCCTCTACACTTTGTTGGTTATATTGGTGTACTTAAATGTGGGAGTGTTAGTCAGCGCTGCTTGTAGCAATGACGGTGTATTGTACAAGAGTGATGAAGTGTCAAGCTATGGCAATATAGAGTCCGGGTGCATAACAGATCAAGTTTGTAACTGAAAAATGTGAATGGTACTGTTGAACAGCGGTAAAGCTTGCTATAGCTCTCAGCAAAATCATGCTGGGAATTGGCATATGGGACAAGAAATAACCAGCATTAAATAAAGAACAGTAGGAACATGAAACAAGCAAACTTTAAAGGTTACACACCCACAGTGTAAATCATGATAAAATTTTGTAGATTTACCCCTGGTAAATTGTATTTTTTGGTTTATTTAAGAAACACTCAAGGTTCTGGCCCACTTATGCGCATATACAAAAGCCAACATTGGTTATTTTAATCTGGAAATTGGCCCTTATCATATATTTTGAACTTGACTGGCCAGCATGCACATGCATGATTCCAGTGACGACTGTCATCATGAGTTTAGTGGCTATGGCATTAGTTTTGGTCGCACTAAGGGGAAGTGGTAACATTTAAGATATGTCATAACCCTCAGGAATGCTACTTTTGAGCCTGCTTTTGACAGCTCGAACAATTGATTACTCTGTTTGATTCAATAAGCCCCATAAATTGGCTTTGAAAACTACCTGTGTGTTATATTGAGATATGAAGCTTGAACTGGGCTCACGACTTGTCAACAGCTTACTGTCAGTGCCAGAATCATCACTATTAGCCCCGAGAACGAACATTGGCGTCACTGCGGTCGCGCCGATGTGACGTCATGGCAAGGACACTCCTTCTCTGCCGCCGCTTATCTCCTTTTTTGGCGCCCGCTACGTACTCACTCTTTAGTGATACGTTGGTGATTACTCCTCGATTGCATGAAGGAAATATTTCAAGATACAAAGTGAAAGGTTTCACAACTAGCGAGAGTTAACGAGGCTGCAAAAGGTTTTCATAAATTAGCTTAGGCTAGGCAGACTCCCGTCTGAACAAAAGATTTCTAGTGAAAATTGCTTTCGTTGCGTACACCAAGAAATGAGTGCTATAGAAAAACATGCTAAGTTGTACTAATGTGATTACAACTAGGCATAGACTCTGGGATGAGAACAGATATGCGCCGAAGTATCACAAATGAATTTAGGATGCTTCCAATTCACTAAATACATTGCTGTTTATCGTGCAAGTTCCGCTTGCATCTGCAAATATTCTAAATGATTTGGCAGAATTGCGCTTTCTCAACAAGAGACATTGCATGAATCTGACTTTCATAAGCACAAACTTCAAACATTCGGAAAATAAACAAAATAGGACTGTCATACACACATTGATTTCATAAATGTTGGGATATGTTCGTTTACTCAGATCATATGTACATGTTTCTTCTCAACTGTCGTCGGGGGTTGTATAGTCGTATACCTTGATTTGCGCGAAATGCTGGGGTGACCTACCGCCGCGGCACAATAGTGCTGTGGCGGTAGGTCACCTCATATCTTATATAGGAATCACCCATGTACAGCTCAACCCATTAATGCAAATATTGTGCCTTGCGTCTGAAAAATCACATGATTATGCACCAATGAGTGTTGTATCCAAGCAGAAGTGTGTTCTTGCTTTTCACACCCGCCGGAATGCAGTAGCCGTGGCTAGGAATGAAAATCATTATCGGGGTTAGCAGCGTGACACAAACCTTCTAACCCCTTTTACATTGCCTATTACCGAGCGTGCGATTGTGCAGAAGCAAAAGTAAACATTTTTTTGTTTTACCAGGAACATTATCAATTCTGTTTTCGTAATGCATCTGCAGCTTGAGACGAGCAGAAAGCGAACCCAAACAACGGCACAGCGCGCGAAGCGAGTGCATCGTTTGTAGGTTCGCAGCGGCGGGCATCGAGGAGTCCGTGCCGTGATGTCACCCAGACCTGCCATTAGGAGGCACCACTCCAACTTGTTGGGGCTAATTCTTATTAGAAGGTGGCTCCAGGACACATTTGTAGTACAGTCGAATGCCTTTTTAAGAGACACTGATATAAGAGAGAAATGGGTATAAGAGACATGAGTATGCCAACAGTAAAATACAACGGATAAGAAAATGCATACGAGGTCTCCCGCTTATAAGAGACATCTCGTATAAAATACAAGAATTGCTGCCCGGAGCATGCCTCTTATAAAGGGGTTTAACTGTGTTTGTGTTGGCAGTCACCAGGGCACAGCTTTTGTTTTCAAAACTCATTCCTGTGTTGTTTCATGTGCCAATTTAGCAGCAGTGAAACTGCCACAGGCTTCGTTCATCTTTGAGGCTTGCGTTGCATGGCAGTCTGAAGTACAATATGTGGCTAACATAGACAAGGTTGTGTAATCATAAAAAAAAATTGCAGTTTCACCCCAGCATTTGAAGCAAAATGTAATAGTAACTAATGGGAATGTTATTTTAGGTTAGGCTAGCAGCTAACTGCTTTAGGATCTCATCTGGCATAGTGTTTACAACACCTGGCCGCTGCAGCGAGAAAAGTGACTTTTATGCTTTCTATAGCTTTGACACAAAGAAATTGATGAGAGAACAGGATGTGCAAAGGTACGAGCTGCCAACTGATCTCCGTTGAGATAGCGCGCACACCGGCTCATTTGATCAAATGTAGCAGTTCCGGCTAAAGTGACACAGGTAAATGCTATGCAAGCACCCCTCTGGCGCCTCTTCATGTGCCCTATTTGAAAGATTCTGTGTGCGGTAGAGCTAACCCTGCCAGATTGTTGGCAACAATATACAGTGTGTACAGTACTTTCAATAAAGCAGTAATTTGCAAACATTTTTAAAGTTATTCTTGTTTCAGTCTGAAATTTGATACAATAAACACATCATAAACAGGGCAGGGCGAAACTCTGACTCCTGTGGAACACTCGGGAAACATGGCAGGTATCAGAGGGATAGGGACAAGTGTACACAACTGAAGATTCACTGTGGACCATGTTGAATGAAAACTAGCCTGAACTACTTGGAACTCTCATGCGAGGAATCTTCCAAATATTTTTTATACAACATTGTGTATTTAGACATACAGTTGGCTGTAATTTGAAATCAGTGAACTTATCCTTGATGTAACATTGTTTTATATTCTGATAGTTCCAGCAATGTATGTTCTGCTTCAAGTCCCTATCTACGGATGCATGTGCTACGTGCTCATAATGCAGAGTTCAGTTCTAAACTGTTTTAAGTTGTCTTTCCATCAGTTTCCTTTTCTTTATTGTTTCTGCCTGTTGATCAAAGTGAGTTTATGTGTCCCCTTGTGCTTCCCTTGGCTTTATTTTCTGTTAGCTTCAAGGGGTCTGACTTGTACGAAAAATTGAGATCGCCATGACATTGTCACATGCAGTATGCATTTAAAGGCTAACTCCGGCGATTTTTTGAGGTCAATGAATCTCAATGAAATTCGCACGGTATGTTTTTTTGCACATTTTAGTCCTTTATGCAAAATCACAGGTCTGAGCGATGCACTGATTGTTTGCAAATGAATTTTAAAGATTGCCTGGAAAAGCTCACCTCAATTGCCAGAATTATTGGCAACACTGTCTGTGTGACGTCATGTTTGGCATGCCAACGAAGTGACGCAGCTGATGGCATCACTACTTTGGCCACTACAGCTTTTGTTGTGCTTTCCACAAGGCGACGGTTGCGGTGTTTGGCACGGGTATAGCACGGGAATGCTTTCTTCCTTCCTCTGTGGTGTTTGGCCAGTGCTTCACTGGACTGGCTTTCACAGTTTTCATACTCCGCGCTGGCGAAACCAGTATACGGCCTCCGGCTCTCCCAAATAGTACGTCATACTCAGACAGGGCGCTCGGTTGGGTTTCGGTATTGCACATTTTTGCTTTTTAAAATTATTTTCAAATTTTCTGAGCATTTCAGCTATTGGGCTCGTAACAAGAGTGTCTCGGGAACATAGAAACACCATAACCTTGACATGGTCTAAAAATCGCCGGAGTTTGCCTTTAAGCCTCTCAGTTACCTTCATTGTTGTCCTTGTGTTCTGTAACTTTATTTCTCTATTTTTGCCCTCGTGTTTTGTAAATGCATTCCTCGATTTTCAGAAAACAAAATTGTCCCAACAGGAGAAGGGCGTATAATATCAGAATTCTTTGGAATATAAAAAGTAATTTTTTGTATAGTGATCTTTTATTGAAATTGAGGCATACTTATCTTAAAACAGCAGATTGATTGATTGATTGATATGTGGGGTTTAACGTCCCAAAACCACCATATGATTATGAGAGACGCCGTAGTGGAGGGCTCCGGAAATTTTGACCACCTGGGGTTCTTTAACGTGCGCCCAAATCTGAGCACACGGGCCTACAACATTTCCGCCTCCATCGGAAATTAAAAAAAAAAAAAAAACAGCAGAGGTATTGATTCTTGCAGAAGCAAGATAATTTTTAGCAGCCTTTGATAAATAGCTAGGTGAAGATAGATAGATCTTGTAAGAATTTTTCTGTCATTTAATGTCTTTTTGTATGATGCTTATGTAGTGATTCATGACTGTGATGGCCACTTCTACTTGAGAGCACATGAAGGAGCGTATCTTGCTGGTGGCTTTGAACCACAATGTAAGCCAGCTGATCTGAGCATCCTTCCATCTGGAGAACTGGGAACACTTCCAGAAGACTGGGATCAGTTCTGTAAGCTCTTTAATCTTATCTCCCTTTTTTTCCCATTTGCCTATAGCTATTCAGTGATACCAACTTGCATTAATCTTTCCGCTTGATACTTATCGTGGCAATATTTGTCACTTACATTTTTTTAGTGACGTCCCAGTCATGCTGACATTTGTGACACATGACTTTGTTTTGATATAGATGATGCACATAAAAGATTTTTACATTGACTTTGTTCGTGTGTGTAGTGAACCACGATTAAGTCCAAGTTAACCTCGCAACCAAAAAGCATTACAGTTGCCTAATGCTGAAAGTAAAATTTGAGAACTGACTGAATAATTTCGTTACATTATGGAACGCTTCGTTTTTTATGCGAGACAGCAGTTTCTTTGGTTTGATTTTCAACTTTTATGTTCAAGAAGTGTTTATGGACCAGTGCATTATTGGCATGAAATGAAACGCACACAGTGGCAAGCATTAGCAATGCTATAGTGTGCACCATCCAGTTATCACCATTTGTAGGCAAGCACATGTGGTTTGGCAGCTCTAGGGATGCGCACGCCTATCCATGGTGATGACAGGATGGCATAAGTAGGCAAGCTCGCTCATGAGTCCACTCACTCGGACTCAGTCGGACTCACTCGGACTCAGGTCAGCTCGTGAGTCTGAGTCAGAGTGAGTCCGGTTGAGTAAAATTATGGTGAGTCTGAGTTTGGGTGAGCCCTAAGCACAAAATATATTTGTTGTGTTGTTCTGAGTGAGCTCCATCTTTTATTGGCAACCCATAATCCTATCTGCTCATCTTCAGCATTGCTCTCAGTTTTACATTGGGTTACATTTATACTCAAGGTTATTCACACATTCAGGGGCCACCTCAAAACTTATTGGTCAGAAACGTGAATTTCAAAGGGTGCCACGCTCTCTTCCCGTAAACTCTTTCATCAAGAGTTCTTGCTATCTCACCTGAGTCTGGTATTGCATGAAAATGTCTTTAGTGAATTACTGGATCACTGATAACTCGTATGTGAAGGTATAAGGTCAAAAGACGTATCGTAGATCACCGATTATGTGAGATATTGGCATTGAAGAACATTCACACAAAGGTCGAAAAAGAGGTAGCTTTACGCTCATGGACTTATGAGTCAACTCGGACTCAAATCAAGTCTTTAGTATAAGTCTGAGTGAGGGAGCCCCATTGAGAAAAATTTTAGCAACTCTGAATCGGAGTGAGTTCAGTTTAGGAAAATTTTGGTGAGTCTGAGTCCGAGTGAACCCTCAGAGCATAATATATTTGTTGAGTGAATCTAAGTGAGTTTTAACTATTTTGCCGACCTATGCTGTACGGCGTGTACTATAACATTGCTAATGCTTGTCGCGTTTCATTTGATGCTGATTATACATTACATATATGAAATTATTCAATACATTGTATTGAGTAATTGGTAGTAATTCTTTTAACGTTTTTATTAGAACTAATATTGCAGTATAAATACACTAAATACTTTAAAAAATATTGATCTTGATGCCTTAACATATATTTCCTTGTAATAATTTTAAAATATTGATGTTCTATTCAGACACACTCTATTGTGATTTAGGAAGTGCAGAGCTTGTTTATTTTACTATATGATACCATATTAGGTTTAACCTGTCTTGGAATATTCAAAGAACTTAGATTAGTCACATGAAAGCTTTCATTTTTAGTCACTGTCTCTACCTTATTCACAATATTTAAGTTAGCATTGAAAGGTACTGATAAGCCTGTTGGGATTTCAAAAACAAAAAAAAAAAAGCCTGATTTTCTTCTTTTGCTTTGTTTTAAAAGATGTCCTGTTGAAGGAAATTCTTTTTCGTTTTCCAAAACTGGGAAACGTGGCAGTGGACAGACTTTACAATTGCCCTGAAAGCTTTACGCCTGATTGTCGTTGGATCATAGGAGAAGCTCCTGAGGTGAGCTATGTAAATTTGTATTTACCGCGTTAAGGTGACCTTTGGAGTGGGTTTGTTATCAACTTTTTCTGCTTTCATTGTGCTCGGTATTCCATTATCTAATGTCACATAATAATGTCAAGCAGAGATACACAGGGTGCCCCAGCTATCTCTAGCCAGAGTTTGGAAATGTGCCAGTGCCATGGCAATGCAAGCAAATGAATTTTGCTTACTGATGCATTAATAAAGTCATACTTTTTTGTTTTTCACTTAATTGCATAATTAAGCATGTTTAACTAACCAACCTTTGAAGCAACAAAGCCAGTAAGGAAATTCTGTTGAGAAAGTTGTAGATTGATTTGAAAAATCTAATTTGACAGCTTCTACCTTTATATCTGTTCATTGTTTGTATTTTTCTGCTTACTACAGATGTCCACAAAATAAATAAATTCATGACATGCCTGGTTGTGTGCCTAGTTGCTCTGTTACTGCAGTGCTCCCTAATGTTCTCTGTACAAATGATATTGTACTTTCCTCGTAACGGTACATGGTAGTGACAAGCTGATGCATTAGTTAACGCTTGGGTTGCCGTTAGCAAAATATGCGTCATTGCACAGGCACCACTATCGTCACAGCCACGTTGAAAAATCATATCCGGCCAAGTGCTATGGTGTTTGCGTGCGGATCGTTAAGGAGCACTGCAATCACTGCACACATAGGTGCACCAGTAGGCTTGTCATGTGGTATCTTTTTTATATTTAGCAGGAATCTGTAGTAAAGGAAAGAACACTAAAACGTATAGTTAGAAGCTTTATAATCGAACGTCTAGCTAGCTGATCTACAGCCTTTCCATTGGAATCTTTTTCCGAGCTTCATTGGTTCAAAAGTTAGACAATGAAAAATGCCTAATTATATAATTAAGAAGAAAACTGAAAATTGTACGATTTACTCCATACAACATTTGTCAACATGCATATGCCACGGTCACATTGCCATAGAATGTATCAGCATATTTTCAATCTCTTGCTATAGTTTGCTTGGGCCCCCTGTATAATGTCTCTGTGTGCAGAAATGGACATACCATGTCTTGCATTCTTTATCATCACTGTCTGTGTTTTGAACTAATGCATTGAACTAATGGTAATGCTATTGTGTTATCTTTTTCCTGTAATATAGGGAAGTAATATGTTTCTTCTTTTTAGCATATGTTTCCACCTGTCTTTTGTTTTTGCTTGTTTTCTTGTTCTTACCAAGTGTTCCCTCACCATAAGCATTGCAGTTTTGCTATTACAAAAATGTAATGTATAGTACTTATGCGGCCTAATAATGCACTTTAGTACTCTCTTTAAGTAAAGTCTGCTGAACAGAAACTTCCAGTTCAATCTGTGTGCTGAGACAGGGAAATGTGGCATAGGTTGTTCAGTGACATTAAATGCACAAAGCCTTTGTATTTGAAGCTTCATTATTAACCCATTAGGTACCAGTGTGACCATATGGTCACGCATATCCCGACGAAGCCTTTAAATTTATTCAGGCTTAAAAAACCGCTCTAAAGTCACGGCAATATGCCTTGCGATAGGTTAGGATACCCCATAGAGACGCCCTCTGGCAGAAGTTATCTATATTCATTGGGGAGCTGCTAATACAGGTGCGAAATAGTGGTTCTACATGCCCCGACAGTGGCTAAGGTACTCGGCTGCTGACCCGCAAGTCGCGGGATCGAATCCCGGCTGCTGCAGCCGCATTTTAGATGGAGGCGAAAATGTTGTAGGCCGATGTGCTCAGATTTGGACGCACGTTAAAGAACCCCAGGTGGTCAAAATTTAAGGAGTCCTTTACTACGGCGTCTCTCATAATCATATGGTGGTTTTGGGATGTTAAACCCCACGTATCAATCAATCATAAGTGGTTATACATTTCGGTGTGTCACCATGCAATGCTTCATCATGTAAATAGATTTTTTTATAGTATTGTTTTTTGCAACAGCTTGATGCACACCTTCTGTAGGCATGTTTAAGGGCAGACACGGCTCTTGAAAAAAAGTTTTTTATTTTTCAATTGCTTTTGATGAATTTTGGTGAACTTATGTATATTTATGTGTAGATTTCAATTATGTAGCTGCAATATGCGACCTCCGGTCTAAATTTGAAACAGATTGACTAATGACTTGCTCGCAAACAAACATGCTATTTTGCGTGTTACTATATTGTCACGCTAGGCTGTTAGGCTCTGTATTTTAGTCAAGTTCGTTGCTTCCTTTTACGCTCTTTGCAGGATGATTCCTCTGTACTCATGTGCCAATTTATTGTATATCCAGGTTTACTTTAAATCAAATAACCAGAACAGTCAAAGAGGACGATAAGTATCTGTTGGCTATCTACATTCAGCTATCCGAGGCTACCACTTACTCAGATGAAGATTTCACTGATGAGAATTCCAGTTGTTGCATAGACAACCTAAACATAAATTATAATTCTGTTGGGGTTTAGTGTCCCAAAACCACAATATGATTGTAAGGGCCACCGTTGTGGAGGGCTCTGGAAATATCGACCACCCGAGCGTTCTTTGCACCTAAATTGTAGATAACCTAGCACAAAACGGTGCTTGCTGACAGCTATTGCATTGGTGGACGTGACTGTGATGTAAATGAAACAGAGTATGAAGCACAAGGTGATGAATCACCAATATCCGCTCAGGTATAGGAGATGAAAGTGCTGACACCAAGTTATATCAAAGTGCACTGAAGAATATCCAAGTGCCTTGCTTGCCCTTGTGAAATTCTCCAATATAACTGTTTCACGGTAGGCACTTTCCAGTTGGTGCTTATGCACACATAAGCACCTACTGGATTGAAAATTGTCACAAGAAATGGTGGTGGTGAGTGATGTTCAGTTTGCAATCTAGTCATAAGCAACGTGCAGTGCTTATTTGCAGCACATGATCCAACATCAGTCAACTTGATTTCCAATCCCTCAAAGCTACCTGACAGATGGGATAACAAGCCAAAAATAACTGGTCGTTGAAGAGCAACGATACTTGTTGACAGCGCACCTTGTGGTCCACATTTTGAATGAAAAAACAGCCCACTTTGTCGGAACTGTGCGTAACAGCAAAAGGTGCGGGTGTGCTGAAGACCACAGCAACATCACGTGCCCACACAGTGTGGTAAACTTGATGTTGACATGTGCATTCCGTGCTTCATACCATTTCACACTAAGTACCAAACAAATGCATAATTTTATTTTTTATGGTGTGTCAAGACCTGAGACATAATTTGTCAGTTTGCCATCTTTGCTGTTGCCTAAGGGCCTAGCGTGACCATATGATTACAGGCCATATTTGGTAAACTAAGAGCTCGTGCATGATGAAGTTTTAAGTGTGATTCATACAGATGCAGATATGATAAAGTACATCTGTTTTCACAAGACTCGTGAAAAAAGAAACTGGTCCCTAATAGGTCAAGGTCAATGTTATTTTAGTACTTCCTTGTAATAATCGCAGGGGAGGATTCAGGATTTCTTTAAGTGTAGGGGAGGAGGGTCAGTTTATGGTAAAGGGGAAATTGTCATATGGGGAGGACCTGATAGGTCCTCTTTATGGTGGTACACGTTAACCAATTGAGGTGCAGAGGCCAAGACATTCATAGCCCCTCTGGATCTACCCTTTATTGCTAGTTATCAATGTTATTTATACTTATTTATAGGCGAAGAACTATTTTGTAGCCTCTGGAATGAAGTCTGTTGGCATTGAGGCTGCCGGCGGCTTGGGTGAAGTCACAGCTGAGTGGATTGCAAAAGGAGAGCCAAAGCTTGACCTGTGGGACATTGACATACGGAGGTTCATTGGGATTCATAACAATGCTCATTTTCTTCGAGACCGCATGACTGAGGCACCAGGTAAGTTCTTCATCAGTCAAGGCAGCTTGCACTTTAGTGCTAGTAGTGCTGTGTCTGATTCATTGCTGGGTTAATACAAAAAATAAGTGACTGAGAGAGGATTGATTTAATTTGGTACAGTGAAGTAGGTGTTTTTTTATTTTGAAGCATGTTTATGAAGTATTACTTGACAGCAAAAAAAAAAGTTTTTTTTTTACTGTTGGGGAAAATGAACAAGTTTTTTTTTTTTGACAAGATTTGTGCAATAACACAGGGTCAAAGAAAATCAAGAAGTACTTTATAACAGCTAGTTGATTTTTCTGAAAACATTTGCTTAAGTACCCTCAGATCTGTACAATCCAGACAACAGAATTAGTCAACAGTGTATATAGTACTTGTGATAACATGCCTTATATATATATATCTGGAGAGAAGTAAAAATTTATTTTCAGGCAATGCAATAGATGGACGGTTATTGCCAGTATCTTTTTGTTTTCAAATGCATAGAGCTTCCGCTATCTACCTTAAAGTTTGATTGCAGTGTTTTAGTAAAATAGCGGTACTGCTAAAACAAGGTGCACATGTACACTCCTCACAATGCATTGTCAAATGTGAACTCAATGGCAGATCCAGAGGAAAGGGGGGGGGGGCAGGGGAAATCGCCTTCCCTAAAGCCAGTGTCAACACCCCACCCCCCTTCTTTTAGTGCCAGTCATATATACCTCCTATCACCGATTAGGACACATGAGAGGCACCACTGTGAGCACAAATTAACAGTACTAATGCTGTGTTGAGGTTCTTGTGATGATAGTGTAACTACTAAAAACAAAAAAGTCAGGAACACCCCCCTCGTGTGACCGCCCCCCCTAAAGTGAGTGGCTGGATCCGCCCCTGTGTGTACTAGAATGTCATGATTACAGATCTGCCCCAGGTACTTCACAGGATTACACATCATAGGAATATTGTACACACTACACTCTTTATATAATTAACAAATGACTGTTTATGTTTAATACTACATTCTATGTAGTATTAAGAAGAGATGCGAGGAAAAAAACGCAAGTTTTTACCAAAATTCTAAATTTTTTGTTTTTACTTGCTTTCACAAGTTCAGCTTCTCTACTTTCATGACATAAAAATTGAAGATTGTAGTTATTACTCGAAGTAGTTTAAAATTGCTTTTGAAGAGCACAAGGTGGCTATTATAAAAATTAACAACAGCTCATTGTCTAGAGTCCCCTAGAAATTGTCGCCTGGCTGCTTTCCACTGCATTTTTCATGAGGAGTTCACCAAAGCCACATGCACAAAATAACCATGATTGTAAAGCTCTCATGATAAAAGAAATAATTTAAAGAAACACATCTTTGCCACATAGATTAGCTTTGATTTCTGCATTTAAAATGAGTTTTTCTCAAGATGCAATTTCGGGCAACTTTTTGAGTTTGGACATGACGTTCTTGGCACTTCTTATCACCAGATTAGGATATTATAGAGGTGTGCTATGAATCACACATTATGGAGGCATGCTATGAAACTTTTGTTTATGTGCTTGGACAGCATTGGTCAGCTATACAAACTCTAGCTGTAGTTTGACACCACGGAAAAACTATTTAGGCGTGTCCTCATTCAATGGTCAAAGATATGGCCTTTTTCTTTATTTTTTAAATTGTATCTTCTATTTTAACATTGTATCTTATTGTTTTCTCTCTCTCTATCTGTACTTTCAACTCCCAATCTCCTTCCCCATGCAGAGTAGCTAGTCAGCGATTTATATATGCCGGCCAAATTCTCTGATTTTTAATAAAGAGTTCTCTCTCTCTCTCAGATTGAGATGAACTTTTTTCACATATTCCTTAACATGTGAAGAGTGCAATTACCTCCTTTAAAAACTGATATTACATAATTATTATAAACTTCAACTAAGGTATTAGTATACAGTCTATGAATTTTGAGACTTCTCACATCACATTTTTTCTTGTTCATTTGAGCGTTTTATATGCACTTTCTTGATAGTTATTTGCATTCTACATTTACTGTGGAGAAATATGACCCATTAATGGCTCATAAACATGAAAGTTTAGTGGCAGAAAAAGTGTGTTCAAAAGGAGCTCTACTTTACTCATTGCCTGGGTACGAAACAAAAACTATGCAACTTCATATAAAACTGATTACATATTTGAAATAGGCATAAAAACCTATGTAAACAAAAAAAATTTAGTGCCCTAAGCCACAGATTAAATTTTTTTTTAGTTGCTCCTTTTTTTCCCGAGTCTCTTCTTAAACATTATACAGCGGTGACATGTGCGTTAATGATGAATGATATCGTCTGGATCGCACAGATTTCTGGGTACTTAAGAAAGTGCTAAAAAAAAAGATGCTCATTAGAAAACACTCGTCCTTGTGTTGCTTTTTTTGCTCTACGTTATTGTGCAAATGTTGTCGAGATGAATTTATTGCAACTAGGCTGACTCGCAGTATTGAACAAGCTTGTTTCTGGTGACATGCTTTGAAGGGGTTCTGAAGCACCTATCCTGCTTGGTGGAAAAAATACCTAATGCGGAAAACAGACACTCTGAGTCTGTTCACAGGCACTGAAAACAGCTGAGAAAAATACTTACAGTTATGCGTGGCAAGGCGAGTTTGGAGGTGAAGTTGTCATTTGCTCAAGCGCCCTTTCTTTTTTTCGGAATGTTGGCACCTGCTCTATTTCATCATAAAGCTGATTGTTACTATTGTCAGTAGCTGTCGTAAATCAAGAGCAGCGTTGGGATTATCCACGGTTCTTGCGATGGGGGGAGGCCACCATGTTCGGGGGCCGCGCTTCATATTGTGCTCAAATTTAAAGTAGTAGCACTAGCTTACACCAGAATCACACTGCAAGAAAATGATCTCATTTCACAGCACATAACTTCTTTCCACTATATTATCTCTCCGTGTGTAGCTTTCAGTTTGCTAGTTAGGATGAAAGAAAGTGAAAAGCCACACGGTCCCTATATGCATTCACCTAAGACAACTTAAAAGCGAAAACCATTTTTTTTCTTGTTTCCTCCAAGTCAGTTGTATTTTATGCAATACCAAAAAAGCTGCTCTTACCGTGAGAAGTAGCATAGTCAGCTAGAAGAAAACACAGAAATCAAAGATGGGTGATTTTGCTTTGAAGTTCCTGTACCTGTGTATCGTGAAGTCATGAATTTTGATGGAATTTGCTCAGTCCTAGTTAAAAATTAATTTACTGAGCTTGGAAATAATTTGAAATAGATAACATCAAACTGATGTACTGGAATAAGGTTTCTGGTGCAGAATCCAAGATGTGAAACTTACTATAATTTTATCCTTCACCGTGCCATACACTACCCTAAAATTAGAAGGAATGGAGTGTTAGAAGAATAGCTCATCTGTTGAAACTGATTTAGTCTTTCTCTTTAGTGCCTCTTAAGTGGCATGTTCTTGCTTGGCTTCTTCATTTTACAAAAACTATGAACTGGGCTCCAACAGTGTAGCTCTGCGGGTGTTTTGTGCTCATATATAAAGTAATGATTGGGAGGATGATGCTAAAAGTTGTTGAGGGCAGAAAACAATCAAATATTGCTTGTTCCTAAGTAAAAGCTTAGTAGTATTAAATATTTTTCTTTCCTGGTTTTTCTTTCTTTTTTTTCAGAAGGGCATGTCGGCAGAGGTTTTGGTTGACTCATGTTTACAGTAAAATTTTGATGCCATGAATCTCGTGGGGTAATGAAAAATATTCGTATAATTCATAAGTCGTATCACCGGAAAACATGTTAACTCAGTTTGCGACAACAGAAAGCTACTGTGAATTTAAATTTATTGTTTCTTAGGGCTGCAACAACATTATGAACAGCTCTGAACAATTTTCAGCAAAGTTTATAGACATAAACGATCATACTTGTGTTCTCCTAAACATGTGGAACGTGCATGGAACCAGTTGCATAACAAGTCAACCCATGACAGCCCGTTCGTAATTTTAGTACGGTTTTCCACATAGCACCATACTACTTTGTCAAATATGACCTAAGGTGCCTTTGCACTCGTAGATGAAGACTGCACAATTTTAGAACCACTGTCCTTGGTTGTTATTTTCAGATCATGGTGTTGCGGGGGCTGTTCTTCAAGACGTTTGCTTATAATTTGAGTCTCCCGTGTGTAAACATAGTAGTCACTGCATTGAGCACAGCAGTACATGTCAATGTGTTGAAAAAAAGCGCGGGGGGGGGGGGGGGGTATAATGACAAGACCAACACCACCTGTAATCTAAACATCATGGTACGTGAATGTGTATTACGGCCTCCAAGGTTCATGCCCACAACCTCAGAGGATACCACGGGATGCTGATGGCCGATCGTTACAAACTGGCAGCGTAGTGTGAATGCCCGTGCTTGTGCTGCCGCGGCCATATGGGATTGCTGTGTCTTCCACGAAATTGCAGGCAGCGCCTGTTCGAACCTGCGTGGTAGCTTACAGTTATATCAAACATCGAAGGGTAAAAAATTATTCCTAACAGCCGTACTTTATTACATTGCACCCTAATGGGCCTTGGCAGGGATCACAGAAAATTTCATATTGTCCTGAAATTCATACGAGTCATGATCCTGTCATCGAAATTTCACTATATCCAGTTTTTGCGGATAGCTTTAGGCCAAATTGACAAAAGTTTAATTTATACTTCCATTGGAAGATGTCAACATAAGAGTAACCTAATTCGAAATGCGCAATCCTTGCAAGGGAAGGCATTTTGCTTCTTTTTTTGTTTTCCTTTTTTATACTGTGCAAGTGTCTTCCATATTACGGCACTTTAAAAATTTTTCTCAGATCAAGGGTAATCCTTTTTTTCTACTTTCACCTGTGCTAATCTCCACAAATTTTCTCAAATGCTAACAGCTGTACACCTAATGGATATGTTGTTCACACTAAGCAAAATGCGCGACTCATCGCTCACTTATTTATGCAGATGATTTGCTTTGTTGTACAAATCTAGCAAAATAATTGGCACTCGTGCCTACTTTTTTTTTTTGCCTGCTCCAAGGTTGTTTCTTGTGTAAACATGCTTCATTGTATGATTTTAAGCAGCTTATGTGTTTGCTGTTTCCTGCCATTTCTTTACGTCTGTGCAGGCATGCATTACAAGCTGTGTTATCCTTTTGTGGAATTTCAAACTGGCCGAGAGCTGCGTATGTCACCCATATATCCTCGTCTCAAACTGGCTGGAGCTGTTTTTGGGCAAACAATGGGTTATGAAAGGCCTCACTATTACACATCCAGTGATCCAAACATTCTGACAGGTGAGCAGCCATATCTTTGCCAGATATGTAATCCACTTATACAAGTACAAATTTTGTGCAAGTCATTACTTATATTACATAATGTCTTAGAGAACATATACAGTCGAATCTCATTAATTCTATTTTGAACTTCCGGTTAATCCAAACTCACGCTGAGGTTCCGTCAAAGCTATGTGTATTCCGTCAAAGCTATGTGTATTCCAGTGGGCGAAAACGCCCTGTGATTCGAACGTGTGATCACTTGCGACGGTTAATACAAACATACCTCACTCCGAAAATGCTCTCAGCACCACGCCCGGTCCCGCGATGGCACCTCCGACACCACAACGCTGCGCGTGAAGGAAAAGAAAAGGAAAGAAAAGGCTGCGGTGGATTGTTTGCTCTCTCTCAAATGCCGATCTGCTATGCGCCTGTGCCACGCTTCTCCCTTTTTCGTCCCTGTCACGTAAAGACCCTTCTCCTTTCAATGCCGCGCCTGAAAACAGAGAGGGGAAAAAAAAATAAAGCTGTCGCGGAGTCTTGGCTCTCTCTCACGTGCTGGTGCCACACTTCCACCTTTCACGTCCCTACAACGTAGACCCTTCTCCTTTCAACGAAGCGCCCGAAGAAAGAAAAAAAAAAAGAGCTGCCGTGGAATGTTGGTTCTCTCTCAAATGCCGATCTGCTTCTCTCCGTGTGGAGACTCTCCTCCTTTCTCGTCATGTGCTGGCCATGCTGCAGCTGCGCAGCGGAGACACAGTTGTCATCTTTAGAGAGTGTCAGCGCTGGACATTGCCGCACGCAACTTCTTTTGCCAGGAGAATGCTGAAGTTGGATTACAAATGCTTTGCAAGCTGCGTGCGAAATTAACTCGCTGCAAGGCAAGCGTGTGCAAATTCACATCACCGATTACTTCAATTAATGACGGATGTCCTGTGATTTGTGAATAAATGTAAGTCTTCTGAAACTTCCCCCTCGTTCGTTAGCTCAATGCACACGCACCACTGCATGGTGAGCCCTCCATTCATTTAGCTTTAATTAATTCAAACTTCTTTAATTCAAATAAATTTTGGGCCCCTTAGAGCTCGAATTATCGAGATTCGACTATATTTGTAGAATCTCGATAATTGAGGAATGTTTTCAAAAAAAACAAACAACGTCGACTTAATAGTAGTTGCTTGTAGTGTCCCTAGAACAAAAGTAATCATCATACCTTACGCAAGCTAATAGGCAAGCATGACCATCTGTGTTAACTCCAGAAATATTTTGCCAGACTAAATGTTTCATTTGATCTGTACTTGCGGGATGAATTGTAGCCTAAAAGATGTGTCTCAAAAGGAAGATGTAATACTGAATAGTGCTGTAGCACTCACAACTGAAGTCTATTGTAGAATGAATATGCACAGGAGAAACAATGGTAATGCTACCATATGGCACCTTCAAGGTTGATATTGTCATGATACAGTGATGGCAAAGCCTCACTAACATAAATGCCATGACCAGAATGAACAAAATGGGATTCTGCGATATTTTTTGTGTGCGTGCCATGATAATGATAGAGTACACATAAATGCATTTTAATAGAGTAGTGGACACCCCCAATTGGAGTGCAGTGCTGTACCGGATTTGAGCAAGTACTCCAAAGTGGACACGTGGTCAGTGAATAATTCGGAACGCTGGACAGGCAGCCACTTGCTGGTGGTGTGCGCTTGTTGGAAAATAGTGCCATGGTCTGTGCTTTCACGTTCTCCCTAGCTAGCAAGCCTCATTCCCTGGTCCATCTAGACCAGCGGTTCTCAGCCATGGATGTGTTGGGGACCCCTTGTGGACTGGTGGATGTGTTGGGGGCCCCCTTGCAGCGTAGGGGAGGGAGGGGAAACAGGTGCCTTTTATTGCTACCGAAAACATAAAAAAAACGTGCCACATCACTTCATTTTGGACAGTTCGTCAATGTGTGGCACAGGCGCGCTTAAAGAAAAATGCGGGTGAGGGTTTTGCGGATCATAGAAATGGCTTCCCAGACCCTCTAGGGTCCGTGGACCCCAATTTGAGAACCACTGATCTAGAGTGATGTTTTCTTGTGCCAAAAGGCTAGTGTTAGGTGACCCTTATTACTGTGACTAGGGGGATGGGGAACATAAAGGTTGTAGAGCTTGTGTGTGTACATGTATATGTATCAATACCTTCTATATTTTGTTATAATTTCTTCCAATGAGAGTTAGTTATGAGTGTTACACTTTGTCTTGACTTGTTTTTTTTTGATAAGTTACAGTCAAGTTACAGTTTGTTGATTTACAATTTACATCCTGAACATTGCGAGTACAATTCATGCATGCATAAAGGAACGAAACTTTCAAGGTGCCCTGCAGCATTTTTTAGCTTGGTCAGAAAACATTGCCAATCAGTAGTCTAGGCTCTTGAGGACACATGAGCCAAACATTATAGCACAGCACGTGGCCTCGAATTTACAATTCTCCAAATTAGCTAGAAATCGCTCTCTGTTCTTTCAACAAATGGTGCCATGTACTCAAAATAACCAGGTTATAAGCATAAAGTCAGCAGGCATTGGCTGATTTGTTAATTTTGAGCTGAATAGTTAGCTCGTGGCCACTGTAGGACGCCACCACGTGCCTGCGCGTTTGTTCATGATCACACTGAAAGTAAGAAGTGCATTCGAAGATAAAAGAAAGAGAAAGTGCTCAGGGTCATGACGTGTGCTGACAAAGAGACTCATCTTTTTGCCCCCTTTCCATCCTCATCTCTGCATAGTTTTCAACACGCTTGTTAGTACGAAAGAAGAGACAAAGGGCTTGAAGCGTGTGACAAATTCCAGTAACTCTGTTCATACTTCACAGATTCTATAAATTTTTGCAGCAGTCAGTTTGTGAGGCAATGAGCTCTTTTAATGCAGCCATTTGACAATTACTTGGAAAAGTGTTGCAGGGTCCCTTTAAGCATGTTTCTGTCGGCAGGTTGTACTGCATAAAAGGCTTTTTGTTTTGATATGACTTTGTGACACAATGGGGTTTACATTAATGTTTCAGTTTTGCTTGGTACTCTGAAATATCAATTATTGGCAATAAAATAATTGTTTTAGTGTTTCAGGAGCCTTTACATCAGATGTTTCAAGCAGTTTCGAGCTGCTGTGCCCCAAATTTGTCTGGGCTTTCTTTCTTTTTCTTTAAATTAATTTTTTGCTCATATAACTGTGAACACGAGTCCTCCTTAACTCAATTTTTATTCTTGTTCTCTGCTGTAGGAACAGACCTGCCTTCAGCTAAAGTTGATGTATATGGAAAGCCACCATGGTTTGATGCAGTAAAATCTGAGTATGAAGCCTGTCGAGAAAGGGTTGCTCTTCTGGACTATTCCTCTTTCACCAAATTGGAAGTTTGGGTATGTGTACCATATAGGGAGTGATTGCAGGGCTTTTACACAAGTTTTGCAGTATTTCTGGCAGTTGAGTACTGTCCTAGCTCTTATGCTATTATCATACAGTATGCAGGATAAATAGCATATTAGGCTTGAACTTATGTAATCATATTATAACTGCCATATAAAGTTTTCTAGCTTTATAAATCATAATTGGGACTGCCTTTGGACATGTCCTAAAGTCTGTTAGTATTTTGTTTAACTTGTAGAGTCTTGAAAAAATAATATCTCTTCTTTCACTCAGCTTTGCATTCCTAAGCATTTGGAAAATGCTGGAGGGCAAGAATTTAAATGACATTTACTTTTAAACGGTCTAGTGCTCAAACAGAGAACTACTGACATAAAAGCCTGGTCTCTCACTCTCCCTGCTTATTAAGTACGGTTTATGAATGCCACAATTATAATAAAAAATCTTTGAATTCTTGTGTGCACAATAGAGCTATTATAGTTAGATCAGTTTTTAATGTGAACTGATCAAAATGCACACCATAGCGGGGTTTTTTTACATGAAACAGGACAATGGTCACATGGTACCATCAACTGTTGAGGTATGCACCCATGCTGTGACTGTTCCAGTGAAAACTGTGGGTACAGAGAGAGTGCTTGAAGGGATAAAAGAGCCGAGGAGGTGAGAGGGAAAGGAGGTGAGAGGGAAAACTGAGGGTACAGAAAGAGTGCTTGAAGGGATAAAAGAGCTGAGGAGGTGAGAGGGACCCCTTTGTTCCCAGAGTGCTGACAGCAGTGGAACCTTTGTTGAAGCAGAGAAGCGCTGAATTAAGTAGGACAAAACAACCACTTTGGCTTCATGTAGCCAGTTTTCATCAGCCTAGTGATTATGTGGCCTTCAACCAGTGCACTGGGCTGTGCAAGCTATGCATGATTGGCTTTATACCATGTGACCACTATCTTAAACTGTATCGATGTGTCCTGTTTATTCAAATTTCAAGCTGCACTGTTTGTCATGTGTGCTTTATAATGGGCACAGGAAATTTAAGATAGAATGCATGAAATGGTAACGAGTTGGTAGTATTGATTTGCCATGCACTGGGGAAACATAATTATGGTGCCAGCCACTACCTATAAAACAGGAAGAGTGAGACACAATCTTTGCATCAGTGTCTCGTCACAGCTTACACAATTCATATCAGGACTGAAAGCCAGGTTCAATTTGATTATTTGATTTCTAAAAGCCAAAGGATTGCATAAAAAAACCACATATTTATTAGCATGTGTTGAAAAAAGTTTTTTGCAGTTATTGGGGTTAGATTAGCTTCTCCTTTCAAAGTTTTGTAGAAAGATTTTTTAATTTCGGTTGATTATCTGCTTTAAAAGTTTCATTAGGCAGTTTCAAAGCTGCAGTTCAATGTTTATCAAATTCAATTTCAATTTGATTTCTAAGAACTGCAGATGAATGTAATAGAAAGCCCCATCACATTGAAGTTTCATGGATCACTGATTGGGTGACCTTATGTGGCAGCCTTGTTTATATAATTGTGTTACTGGTCACTCCTTTGGTTGCAGTAAATTGGCTATAAAAGTTTGGTAACCTTACGATGAATTTTCAGAAAAATAATTTAGGATACATTTCTAGATATGCTAGTGAACTGTATCTTTCACATGTCAACTTTGACAACTTGTTTTAACCATATTGAATGCTTTTCCTTTGCACAGTCTCCTGGTAGTGAGGTGGTTGATCTGCTGCAGTACTTGTGTTCAAATGATATCGATATCCCCGTGGGAAGCATTGTTAATACTGGTATGCAAAACCATTGGGGTGGCTATGAAAATGACTGCAGCCTTGTGAGGCTCGAGAAAAACAGGTGTGTCTTTTTATTTGGATACAGCCATTTTAATTACTTTCCAAATTTATGCCTTGCTTTTCAAGGTGTTGACAGATACATAGTGAAATGCATAGGGTAAGATGGCTTGTGCCCCATAAAGCAGCATATCATTACAGCAGAAGCCTGCCAGCATGAGCACTTTCATATTAGGAGGCTGTTGCATGTTTTATGTGCTTTCTCACCACTCCACACCATTTTTTACTTGTAGTTGTGATGGAGTTTCTACATTTGCTCTGACAGCAGTTAGAAGCTCAAGACCGTGTTCATCCAACCGTATGTCCTCCAATTAGTTTTGTTGCACTGTTGTAATCTTTTTGCTGCCATGTTTATCATTATGTTGCTGTGTTGCCATCATGCCACCTCCTCACCCTTATCGTACGGTGAAGAAAAATTTAACATTGCATGCTCCTCTAGTGGGTATCAAGGTCATGCCAGTAGATGTGTGCATTTCATGCCTTACAATTCATGCAATATTTAGCATCTGTGACACAGGGTTTGAGAGTGGTGGCATCTATTTCTATGTTTTAGAAGCAACAGCTGGTGGTTGATGCAGAATTCGTTCACAGCACGACATTTTGCTGTATTAGTCATCCGTAGAAATCCTGCCTGAGCGATTTGACTCATTCAAGATGACTATTCGCTGTTTTTCACACTAGTCAAAAAAGTTTTTGTCTTGCCGCAATCTTGATCATTGTTGTTGGTCATTATTGGTCTTCCATTGTCCAGTCGTCACTGTTGTTGTTATGCCTCTATTGTCATTGCATTTTGACATAGTTTGATGCAGTCAGTAGTGTTTTGTTCAACTTTGCATATGTAGGGATAAATTGTGGGAGCAACTGCAGTCACAGTAAATGACTCCTAAGCCAGAGCAACTGCTGCAGTCTTTTTTTTTTCTTGCTGGTGCTTTGATGCTTACTTTGCATGCTATTTTCTACTAGCCCTCAGCCTATTGCTCCGTTGTTGTGCTTTTATAATTGTGCATTTTTTGACCTAGATCTAAATTGTCACCTTGGAAAAGGTTATTCTTCCAAATTTTTTTCCTTTTTCCTAATTTCTTAAGATGCATTTGAAACCCTGCAGTGTCTTTGCTTTTATGCCACCATGGTGTCGTACTTAGGTATTAGTTCAAAAAATAATTTGAGTGCAAACACACGACACATTCATGCACACACATACCTAGGCATCAAACATACACAGTGCTCACTTCCAACTGATTTATTCATAGCACTAAGGCTTGGATATACACATTGGGCACATGCATGCATTAACATCGTAGAAGACCAACAGCATACACTGTCAAGCCGTACAGTTTATCATCTCACAGCCTAGAACTGATAAAACAGGGATTCACTTGGAAACAAAGATAGCGAAGGGGCAATTACACAGTGATCCTTATTTTTTTTTCATGAAAAAGGCCTCTAACAATTCACATGCAGTTTTTCTTGCGCTTCTGCCTATAATCTTTGTCTCAGAGAATCCTGCCTCACAACCATGCGCAATCAGGTGCGCATATTCGTCATCTTGTTTTGTTAATTTTTGGGCCTGTTCTTTTAACCAATCATTAATACATCTTTTGGCTCGTCCACCGTTCACCTTGCCGCAGGATAATGGTATTGAGTACACGATCCTCATGAAACATCTCACATAGGGCCTCTCATGCTTTTTCTCGCAGCTGCGCTTTTGGCTATTGCAAATACTAGCCCAAAAACAAGTTCTTTTACTATATATTAGGTATTAGTTATTTTTTTACAACACCCTCACTTCGTCTTTTGATGCAACTATTCGTTCTGTTGTGCCTTATTGTAGAAAGCTTCAATTTATGATTGACAACAGGAACATACACAGTGTTTTTTTTATAAAATACAAATTTTAAAGTAAAATTTTGATGATAGTTGGGCACCTGTCATCATTGTAAACAAACTTCATGTCAGACAAAAACTTCAGGTGATGAACTTTGAAAAAATGTACGTAGTGCACAATCTGGTCATAAAAGTGAGAAGTCATCTCAATTGCACAAGTTGACTACTTATTCTTAGGGTATGGTGCCTCACCGTGGTGGTCTAGTTGCTAAGGTACTCAGCTGCTGACCCGCACGTCATGGCATTGAATCCCGGCTGCAGAGGCTGCATTTTCGATGGAGGCGAAAATGCTTTAGGATCGTGTGTTCAGATTTAGGTGCACGTTAAAGAACCTCAGGAGCCCTCCATTAAGGCCTCTCTCATAGCCGTATACTGGTTTTGGGACGTTGGACCCCACACATTAATCATGAAATAATTCTTAGGGTTTGGTGTTAGTGCTTGTTCTTTTATTTCTGGATTCTAAATAACTGGAAAGAGCTCTTTTGCTTGTCTGCTAGCAGATCCACCACAGTAGCTGCCACAGTTTTACACAGTAGAGTGAACAAAATAGAAACTTGGGCATTGTGGTTTTTCGGGTACAGCGTGAAAGAATCAGATGCGCATGAAACATCACGTGCAATAAATCAGTCCACTTGTGCATGTGAGACCTGCTGTTTTTCCTGAGCAGATTCTGGTGCCATGTGTCTTTTTTTCAAGGTCATCACGGGAAGTTCCTGCATGACGGTAACACAGTGGGGGCATTTTCTGCACATCTGGCATGATTTTCTGCACATGTGGCATGCTCGATTTCAATATTGCCTGGATTTGTACCATAAATTTTAGCTATTGAAGGTGTACTGACACAAAATTTTGTGGGCGACATAGCCTGTGGTATTTATTCCCGTAAACATGCATATAACTGCAAAATAGGAACATCGAATATTGCTTGGAATATATTTGATGTGATTTAGAAGTTTGTGTTTGCAATCGAGTGCTATGTGTCACATCTTGTGACATTGACACTCTTGAAAGTGACTCTGTAGTGACCCTCCTACTTCCTTCGCCCAACCATACTACCACCGATACGAGTTATGATGACGACGTAGTTGCCATTACTCTTTTGTCGCGCCTGCTTCAGCTGACCACTTCTTGTCGGCTGCTCACGAGTCCATGGGCGCGGTGCACGCGTAGAATGTTTTGTGTTTGGTGACACAAGCATTCTACCCCTTGACCACTTCTGTGGAGCTTGGTGACTCTAATTTCCGAATTCCTGTTTGAAAAAAAACTCCTCGACTTGGCCTGTGCGGAATTGCATCACTGTTCTGTGTACTGACGTGGTTGAGTGTTGCACACACTAGGTGGTGATAGTCGTACCTGGCAGCTTATTGTTCTTGCAGCTCTTTCAAATCAGAACTGAGGCTGGTTGGTAATGAGGAGCCTATAATTGCCTGTTGCACGATACAACAAATGATCTGTCGTGTTATGACTAACAGGCCACCAGCAACACATTGCAAAAGAAAAAAAAATGCGAGGTCAATAGTTTTTGTGGCAGTACTTCTTTAATATCTAAAATTACATCTGTTTTCTGGGATTTCTCTAAAAATGGTATTTTTGTAAATTGTTATGTCCTTCAACCTTTTCATATAAACAGTTGCCCTGAAGTTAATATTTAGGAGATTAGTTATAAAATAATAATACGAGAAATAATTAACAATTTTTTTATTGATCATTTTATGTGGGTTTAGGAGCAGCAAAGTATTTTCTGTCTCAAGATGAAGTTCGTGCTCAAAGAGTGCAGGTAGCTGACTGTCATAGCATTTTTATAAATTACCTGGATTGTCTTAAAAAAAATTATAGGCACAGTTGGTTATCTATTGATCACCATGGTCATTTTCTCAATGTGTAATGAAACAGACATGGAAAATAACAGGCAAGTGTTACTTGGAGAATATACCTTTGGAAGTGCGGGTATAATTGAAAAAAAAAAAAAAGAAACAAGAGCTAAGGTGCTCACTAGGCATGGGAAAGCTTTCAATTGAAACGGAATGACGGAATTTTTCAAGAATTTCAAGAGACATGAAAAAAAAAATTTGCCATTGTGAAATGGTGTTTTGTGCGACTATTCTGTGCTTTTGTTTTTTTAGGTTTTCATCATTACTCTTTCTTGAAGAGCACTGGTGCAAGACACTTTATGTTGCTATTACTTCTGATGTTCTTTGTGCAAATCTTCTTAGTGGCAGATTGATTCACTTGTCTGACTTCAAGCACAGCTTGTTTCTTACACTTTCCTCTTCCATTCAACTGCCCCGCCGCGGTGGTCTAGTGGCTAAGGTACTCGGCTGCAGACCCTAGGTCGCGGGTTCGAATCCCGGCTGCGATGGCTGCATTTCCGATGGAGGCAGAAATGTTGTAGGCCCGTGGGGTCAGATTTGGGTGCACATTAAAGAACCCCAGGTGGTCGAAATTTCCGGAGCCCTCCACTACGGCATCTCTCATAATCATATGATAGTTTTGGGACGTTAAACCCCATATATCAATCATCTTCCATTCAACTGTTTTTATGTAATTGTTTTGAGTTGTCTACCCATTCTTACACCAAAATGCAGGAAGAAGGACTAATGCTGGTCACTTATAGGGACAGTGCTGTTATGGAGCCTTTTCCTTCACCATTGTGTGCATATACGAACACTCTTGAACACCATTAATCTATAAATAGTGTGCTCTTGCCTATTGCACATTAGTGCCATGGCATACAAAAGGGAGAGTGACCTAATGTAGGCCACGGTAACAGCCTCCAAACTTGATGAACACTAAATGGGCCCCAAGTGGCCCTATTGTATTGTCTTGAACATGCGATTGTCTACTATACAGACTAGGGCTTGACATGTATAAGTTGAACTAATCAAGAGACGACAAAAAACACCTAAGCAGCTGCAGTTCTACAGGCAACTTTTATTTGAACTGATTTTGGTGTGTTTCTCACTTATTTGTTAAGATATTTGTTAAGGTGTTGTGTTCACAGTTACCTTTTGCAATGCTGAGAGTGACATATAACATTGCACGGTATGATCCATTTTTCATAAAACATGGTAAAAGCACCAAGTGTATACATTTCTATTGAGCACTTTTTGGAAGAATGACATTTCTCTTTAGACTTTGCTGTTGCATTATAACACATGATAATTTCACCAAATTGAGGCAGTCATTTTGTCCATTCAGGGCTTCTTGAATCACCTTTTTTCGAGCAATCAGAAATGCTTTTGAAAGAGTGTGGAGGATCCCAGAAATATATTACTGAAAGGGTAAAATAAGGCATAGATTGAGTGGACTATGATAGCAGTGTTTGCCTTTCTCATCCATACTGAGCGTCCTCCATTTTGAGAGATAGGGGCAGTGGCAGTGTCTCCTTTTTGTATGAGTGCTAGCTGACTTTACCTGAAAACTGCTGCTGTCTGCGCCACTATCTGTTAAAAAAAAAAAAGGCATTTAAATTTTCTGCCCTGCTTGTGAACTTTACACTATTGCCACGGTGGTACAGTGGTTAAGCTGCTTTGCTGCCAACCTGAAAGACGTCAGTTTGATCCTGGCCACACTAGTCATCTCTCAATAAAGGCAAAATGGGAGAGGCCTTCGTACTGTGTGTTTTCAATGCACATAAACGTATCCCAGGGGATCAAAATTTCTGGAGCTCTTCACTACGGCATACCTCATGATCATATTGCGGTTTTCTCATGTAAAATCCCAAAAATATTATGCTGTACAGACAGTGGACAGCTACAAAATTTGGTTGAGATGTTCACTTTCACCTTCTGTCTGTTTGCAGTATGTGTTTTCTTGTAAAGGCTTAAAGGGACTGACCACCACTCACAACACAAATTGATATTACCCAACTAATAGAAGGATTATTTATTGTATCTTCTAAAAAAACCATATCTTTCTCATTAAATATGGATTTATATTTTTATTTTTTTACTCAAAATTACTTTTGGTATCTCTGGTGGCAAAAAAGTGAATGTGCACTTGTACCTGTCTCATGACCTATTCCTGTTGTCGGCTATTGTCTTTATATGAAGCATTAAAATGCAGCACACAATTTGTTGATCTTTTTAATGTAAAATATGCAGATATGCATTCGTTTGCTCTCAGAAGAACAGGAGTGCGCTTCATGTATGACCTGATGCTCATGAACAGCAACGAGAACATTGTTAGCTGAGGGCCTTGCAGCACCTGCCGACAAGTTGGAAAAGTACGAAGAGCGCTTAGCATCTTTTTAGATTACCTTTAGTGACGCATTGCCAGAACTAATCACGGAAGCCACAAATGTCTAGCTCACGAGGTAGTAAAGAGATCTCATGGGACGACGAGGGTTTGGAAGACTTATTCTACAAGCTATGTATAATCCAAAATGGTCAAAAATATCAATGTGAAGGTGGTTAACTACATTTTCACTCACTCTTGTGAAGGAAATACCTCGAGCATAATGTAAGGAAGGCTGTCAGCAGCCATCGCCATCGTTTCATAGCGTTGCTGGATGACATCTACGTACAGTTCAGGGGCTTTTCAGGTCGAAAAATATTGCTAATAAAATAACTGTGCATTCTTGAAATTAACTGTTGCAGCTACAAACACTATGAAGGGTGAGCTTTCTATCGCATCATAAAAATGAGGCTCGGTAAGAAAACAAATCTTGCAAATAGCAGACACTACTATGAACATCTCAGCCAAATCTTGCAGTCAGACATGGCAAGAAGAACTTAACAAGCAGAGTGGAAAGTCTCCATTTTCTCGGGCACCTTCTTTTAATACAGAGGGTTGTCCTCATTCACTTCATAGTTACCGAAACCCGCTATTTGATGCCGAACAGTGTGTAGCATGCTGTTTGCCAATGGCCGACATAAATCAAGAGCGGCGTTTGTACCATGTAGTATGCTTCTTGCCACAGGGTGCCAGTACTGCGCTTCATAGTCTGATAACATTCAGAGAGCCACACTCGCGTCCTTATAAATCACAATTCGAGAGAGTGATGACATTTCGTCACACGCACTCAAGGTCATGACGCACACTGGTGGAACTTCTTTCTGCCTTGCCATCCCTCCTTGCTTGGCTTCCATCTTGCTCAATCTAATAACAAAAGAGAGAAAGTGCTACAAGTGCGCACAAAACCCCGGCAGCTCTAGCTCTGCTTATTAAGTGGATTAGAGAAATTTTGTGACAATCGATTCATGAGGTGACTAACTCCAATTTAGAGATCATTCGATAATCACTTGAAAAAGTGTTTCATGACTCCTTAGAGGATACTTCAGTGCCCCTCTAACCTTCGTCACCCTGAATTGTAAACAGTACCTTTAACAGTTTACGATGTCTCGTTGTCCTTCAAGGTCTTAGTCTCATTTGGATGTAAAGTTGCGATGAAGGACCAAGCTTGCACGTGGAATTACTTTTTTTTTCTTTTTTGACAGTCCAGGTATTGATAATAGTTATAGTGCGAGAACAGAACGATGACACAGAGACAAAAGGACACGAAAGACACGAGCGCTTCTTTTCTCTGTGTCGTCGTTCTGTTCTCGCGCTATATCTATCGTCATGTCATACCAACTAGCCCATGCTGCCACACTTCCAGGTATTGACTTTGTGCCTTGTAATTTGTGCTGACATGCAACATGCATCTAATTTTGTGTACATTATTATCTGGGAAGGTATATGATAGTGGCACCAACCAAGCAGCAGATGCGCTGCCAGACATGGATTCGTCGCCATGTGCCGTATGACAGCCCTATTGTCATTGCTGATGTCACATCTATGTACACTGCTATCTGCATCATGGGCCAGCGAGCACCAAACCTCATGTCAGAACTTACTGACACCTCATTAACATCCAAAGACTTTCCACTCTTCACATGGAAAGTGAGTGTTGTGTCTTGCAACTGTTCAACTCTTGCATGCATTCCTCTCGAAAAGTAAAGCCTTAGTAAAAAAAATAAATGGAAGATGCGTCTGTAAATGTTAGTGGTCTTAAAGGCAAGTCAAATAGTTGTTGCTATTCTGTTTGTGCTTAATTCAAAGATTAACTGTCGAAAATTTTCAAATATTTGTTTTTGTTCAAGTAAAAGGGATCATTCACTTATCGGAGCAGTTACTTCTCATACAAGCTTTCCACTTTACTGGATTAAAATTTTTTAACAGTATTTGATGTAAACTATACATGAGCTTGATTTTTCAGCTTATTCAAAAATGGAAACTATTAAATATTGTATGTGTTGTATATTTGCATTCACTCTGATAGAAAAATTATGCTGTTCAAGCACTCCTTCTTTTTAACTTTTTAAAACCAGAACAGACATGATATAATTTATGCTGCGTAGGAGAAATGGTGTGTGTACACATGTGTGTGTGCATGCATGTGTACATGTTTGTGTGTGTAATTCCTCATGTGCTTCTCATGTGTTACATTTTTATGACATTATATCTTCTAATAGATTTTTGAAAATATTGTTGCGATTTTATTTACAAGATATTTGCACAAGGAAAAAGTCTGAAAGTCAGTATGGCAGTCGCGTTTCACCAGAAAACCTAGTCCCCCCGTTCTTTCTTCCCTACAGTATAGTGATAACGGCAACACTACAGCATTGACCCACGGTGGCGAGAGCGCTAACGCCCCGCTTGTTACAAAGTGTACGAGTGGTACAGCTTTAGGTAGGAGACATAGAGGTACGGCTTTAGGTAGGAGACATGGACAAGGTCTGGAGACGCAGAAGGTGTAGTAGGGCCGTGAGGCGCTATTTCATAAGTAACGTCAGTCACCTGGTGTAAGAGAGTGTAGGGGCCAGAGTATTTAGGGAAAAGCTTTTTGGACAAGCTGACCTGCTGAGACAGAGACCACAGGAGGACTAGGTGGTGCAGTCGTATGCACACTTCTGGCGCAGCTGCAAGTCGGCAAAGACGTCAATGGGCAATCTGACCTGCCTTTTCGACCATGGTAACAGCATGGCGACCATACGCTGTCGACAAGTTGCCAGGGCTGGGCACGATCATGTCAAGAGGCAAGGTGGTTTCTCGTCCATAGAGAAGATAAGAGGGAGCATAACCATGGCATGGTGCGAGGTGTTGTATGTAAAAGTGACAAAAGGTAGTGCAGTGTGCCAGTCGCGATAATCAGTCAAAACATACATGAAGAGCATATCAGTGATCGTGCGATTCAAATGCTCCGTGAGACCATTTTTCTGGGGATGGTAAGCCGTGGTGTAAGCTTGTGCTCTGTGGCACAAGAACAAAGTAGGTCATCAATGACCTTAGATAAAAAGTAGTGGCCTTGGTCTGTAAGAAGTTGGCAAGGAGCGCTGTGGTGCAAGATGACGTCGTTTATCAAGAAGTCGACAACGTCTGCAACGCAACTGCTCGGAAGAGGCCTCGAGATGGCAAATTGGGTTGAATAATTTGTTGCGACTGCGATCCATTTGTTACCTGTGTTAGAAATAGGGAGGGTATCGAGAAGGTCGAGGCTGACACGAAAGAAAGGCTCAGCAGGTATGTCCATAGGTTGAAGAAGCCTGGCAGGGTGTAGAGCTAGTTTTTTCCGGCGTTGGCACGACTGGCAAGAGGCAACATAACAATGTTTGGAACAGTAGAGGCTGGGTCAGAAAAAGCATTGGCGAACACGACCATACGTCTTGGTAGCACCAAGGTGACCAGTTGTCAGTACATCATGTTGTTGCTGTAGTACGATCAACTGCAGATGAGCGGGTAATACAAGAAGTAACTCCTGTCTGACGCGGTGCATGTTCTGGTGGTGTAAGATGCTGTCTAAAATGATGTACATGCGAAGAGTTCGCTCCACATGTTCATAATTAGATCATGTATAGACGCTTCACATCGTTGCTCGTCAGCGATGTTGCTGAAAGCGGAGAGCGACCAAATGCACATGTATGTGCTGACCGTTGCGATATCTGGAGCATCGATGGGGTACCGAGCTAGGCAATCGGCGTCTTGGTGTAAACAACCGGACTTGTAGACTTCAGTGTACGTGAATACCTGAAGATGAAGATTCCAGCGAGCCAGGTGCCCTGTTAAATCCTTGAGTGTTGAAAGCCAGCATAGGGCATGGGGATCTGTGGTTACTGTGAAATGTCGGCCATATAAATAAGGGCGGAATTAACCAACTGCCCATACAAGCGCCAGGCATTCACACTCAGTAATAGAATAACTGCATCCACAGGGGAAAGCAGCCAGCTGGCATATGCAAGGACTCTATCATTACCAGATTGTCGAGCTAGCACAGTGCCAATCCCAGCCGCTATTGTCAGAGCGGGCCTCGGATGTCGCGGACGTGTCTAAATGGGCGAGAATCGGTGTTCTAGTGAGCACTGTAATGAGGTGTGAAAAAGTAGTCGCTTGATCATGACCCCACATAAATGGCACATCCGTCTTAAAGGGGCCCTGCAACACGTTTTGAGCATAGTCAGAAAACGCTGCCAATAGGTAGTAGAGGCTCCCGACAACATGCGAGCCAAATATTATAGTGCAGCACGCGGCCTGGAATTCACAATAAATTATCAAAGTCAGCTAAAAATAGCTCTTCTCTCGACAAATCACGGAAAATAAGCCCAGTAAGCCCATCTATCAGACATTGGCTGATTTGAACATGGCGCGCTCGGTTGTTACAGAAATTGCCGCGAGAGGTCGTCACCTGTCCATGCGTGCGCGCGCAATTGTACTGAAAAAGCCGCGTATTTGAAGGAAAAAAAATTAAAAATAGAGAAAAAAGAAACGAAAAAGGTCACGAGGTGCGAGTGACGTTTGTTGTTTGCCCCTCCCATTCCTCCTTGCTCAGCTTCCAGTACTTTCGACGGGACGAGAGAATGTGATTGTGGCGTGTGACAAATCTTTGTAACTCCGCTCGTACTGGACAGATTCTTAAAATTTTTGCGGTTTTCAATTTGTGAGGTAATGCGTTTTTCCAATGAATTAATTCCATGGTTACTCAAAAAAGTGTTTCAGGGCCCCTTTAAAATCGGTTATACTGCGTGAAATGTCCACAACGTTCTTGACAAATCGTCAGAAATATGAGCACAGGCCCATAAAACTGCGAACGTCTTTGGTGCAAGTTGGTACAGAAAAACAAAGAGCAGCGTGAACTTTGTTGGGATTAGGGCGTATGCCAGATGAGTCGACGAGATGATTTAGGATAGCAACTTGCAGTGCCCGAAGTGGCATATTAAAAAATTTCCTTGTAACTCAGACACAGGAAACACAAAAGGAATGGACCAAGTCTGTCGAGATGAAACTCAAAAGGTTCAAAAGCACAAAGTGCAGTCAAGACTGTTCATAGTCTTACTTGCGTGATAATACTTGTATGACAACTAGCAATTTCAAGGTAGATAATTAAAAGTACTCACCAATGAACTTTCCTATTATTCATTTTAGGACATGTTTTCTATTTGTATAGCTCAAGCGGAGATATAGAGAAATCATTCTTGTTTCAACCACGCTAGAACTTTTGCGCAGAATTGTATAAGTGGTGGCCGTGTCATTCTGGATTTAATTCATTGGTATAGTGAATTGGAGCGAAATTCATGGAAGTCTATTATAGTATACTTCTATTTATTTTTCTCCAATTCACTCTTATGGGTACTATGGTTGCAAGTGCCAATATTACAGCATTACAGTGTATGTACAAGAGTGCATGTTATTATGATTTGTTTTTATATATATATATATATATATATATATATTATATATATATATATATATATATATATATATATATATATATATATATAATATGTGTGTGTGTTTGGTTTTTTTCAGGAGCTTGACCTAGGTTTGGCCAGTGGCATCAAGGTTTTTCACATGACGCACACTGGAGACAGAGGATGGGTCTTGTACATACCTAATGAGGTATGAAATGTGCATTTATTGTGTACTTCAGTGCCCACCAATGTTCTTGTTACATAATTTATGTTGCTTTTACATGTTCCCTTTAATTATGTCTTCTTTATGTTCTCTAAATCTTTTTAAGGAACAGGTGCACTACCAGCCACTAAAACTGAGTTTCGGCAAATGCATGATGCAAAACTGTCTATCTTGTACAATTGATACTATGCAACCCTTAGTGATACACATGTGCCTTGTTCTGCTCTTGGCGCACCTTGTGCACTTTCACAGAAGAGCTTCATGAAAGGAGTACAAGAATATCAAAAACGTGCACAGTGTTCTAATTAAAATTATAAATTTTTTGTACTCATTGGCTACTTCTTTACATGGAACCATGTGGAAAAGTGAGGCAATTTTGTTGTTGCTCAATCGGGGCAGGCGTGGCTATTATTGTGTGCTAGACCTTCAAAAAACTGAAGCCCAAGCACAATAGCCAAATAATTTATAGGGATATACAGTAGACTCATTATAATTCAAACTATGATAACTCTTACTTTCAGTTAATTCAAACAAAATTCAATTTTTTGGTTGGCTCTCTATTTTTTCAATGTACTTAAAAGCCTCTTAATTCAAACTCCTTCATTCAGTTAATATATACTTTTTGCAGGTCCATACAAGAAAATATCAGTTGCTTTCCCACTACTATTGAAAAATTTGTGTGCTTGTATAATCCTAACAGTCTAAAAATGAAAAATAAGCACCTGAGGTCTTCAAGGAAAAAGGCTTTGCAAGTACACAAATGTTTGAAACAAAGCACACGTATGGTGAACCGTGAAGCTTCTCAACTGGTATAGAGAGCTTTGTGCTGTAGGCACATACCTATAGCAATGAAACAGTTGTCAATTCAGGATTTTTTTAAAAGGTCTGATCAGCAGTAAATGGCCAAATAAACTTGTGGACATTATACCTCTGCTTTCTGTTCACTGTGTGCAGTTAGGGCTCAAAAACACTTGAAAAATTTTTAAATGTAATAAAATCAATGCCTAATCATAATGTGTGGTGTCACTTCACCCAGAGTCATCTATCTGAGAACTTATGATAATTAAGACTTCTTGATAATTCAAACAAAGTTCAGAGGCTGCTTCTAGTTTCAATTAACAAACGTCGACTGTATACACACTTTATTAAATTAGATCATGCTTTGACCTTTTGCTGTTCTTCCTACCCTATTTATATATAATTGTATTTTCACTGCCAATGTGACTCTGGTACTATTCACTGTTGATGAGGCTATTGAAATATTACTGTGTACCACATTCTCTGCATCTTTGTTCACTTGCTGCATTTTTTTAGTGTATTGCTTCTTTTTCGTTCATGGTAAATCATTATTTACCTCATAGATGCTGTTATAATTGATTGGCAGTGTTTCACTGGTTTATCATTTACTTAATTATGCCTCAGTACATCTGAAGCACTAAAAGTGAAGGGTTTTAATTTTTTTAAACTGCATAGTACCTAATTAATTAGCATATTAGTTTGACTTATCAAATGTGTGTGATGTTAAAGAGCTTGCCAGTTTCTAAAGTTGGTTGCAACAATAAAGCTTTTTTATTTTTTTACGTTATTATTTTTTTTTTTCAGTATGCTCTTCATGTATATGACAGAATTCTCGAAGTGGGTCAAAAGTATGGAATTCAACATGCTGGTTACTTTGCAATGAGGACGCTTCGCATTGAGAAGTTTTTTGCCTTCTGGGGAAAGGACCTGGATTGCACAACAACACCATTCGAGTGTGGACGAGCCTTCAGGGTGAAGTTTGATGTACGAATTTGGAATTTTTTTTTACTTTCATCATAATGTACCAGGGGTGTGCGAATATCGCAATTTTTGAATACGATTTGAATACGAATACATAGTTTTGAATACAAATCGATTATCGAATAATGAAGAGGTGCTATTTTTTTCCACCAGTGATCTTTTACTCAATCATATATTTATGTTGGAAACAGTAGATTTGTTATTATAGTCAGTTATGGCACACAAAAATGAAAAAAATGTCACCATTTGTACTTGCCAGAAAACATGACTGTAGTAGTTGAGCTTGTGACTGTGATGTCTCGGGCTCAATCCACATGTTGAACAGACCTTTTGCATTGTTTTTATATTACAAAAAAAGAGAAAAGCTTTTGTACCTGCCATGATGACTAGTGAGCATGAGGCCATTGGTTTGATTGCGTAACAGTTAACAGCCGTGTACTTAAGTCTAAGCGATTCTTAAAGCAGCCTAGGTGGTCATAATTCATCCAGGTTCCCTCACTATCAGTTGTGGCTCGAAAGACCCCGGGTTTATAGTTTTCTTTTTCATTTTCTCCCCTGTTCTCCCCGATGAAGCGGCTAAGGTATATAGGTGTACTTGGGGCGTTTTTCAACTACAAAGCAATACTTGTTATCTCGCTTGCTTCCCTTGCCTTTCTCGTGGACTGCTCGCTCGCCTTTTTCCGATGAAAAATACTGTGTCAATTGCACTGATTGCAGCAGGATCGTGATCAAGGTGTACTGGGCGCGCAGCGTTAACGCGAGGTAAGCGTGAGAGATAGATGATTACTGGTGTGTGATAGAAATACGTCCCAAATATGCATTTTTGTTAATGGAGCCACAACTCCCGGGGGCGAGGGCACTACTTTGCTGCATCGCGACTCTCTTCGACACACTGGCTGCCGACGGCAGTAAACTGACGTTGGCCGCGAGATCGGAGCAACGGTGTAATGGAGGGTTGATTGCAGGAGACGTTGCCACACGAGCCCGATGCACTTACGACGTATTTTCAAAGGTACTGTCGGGAACGCAGCGGGACTACGCATTAATCCGTCCGTCAACTTTCGTGCGCTGCCATTAGCAACAAAGAACTATATGTGATGATGCCATTGTAACATTACTCAAAGTGCTTGGCTTTTTCTATGTTTGCCATTGCATGGAAAAGCACTTCAGCTCATTTTGCATGACCATATCCGCTACCATGAAATCATTCCGAAACTATGAAAAGCATGTGCATGCTGAAGTAGCGGCACACCTGATGGACAACTCGTCAGGCTTCGACAGGTGCACGGACGTTTGCACGGCAATCTATTAGCGAAAACTGGCATGGCTGTACATGAAACACGTTACCATCATATGTCAAGCTGAGCGCGCCCCTAGCTAGTTGCGTGCAGTGCTTCACCTTCTAAGCTCACTTCATCAGCGCCGCGCCTTGTAACATATACACGTGCATTTACCCTTGCGTAGAGATTTTTTTTTTCTTGCTCGCTTGACACGGGACTGAGCAAAGGTGTGAAGACTATGTTGTGTAGCCAACGTGGCGGCGGCGAGTTGCCTTCATTTCCATGAGCGATACACACTTGCGGTCTCTCGCAGAAGAGCGCGGCAGCAGATGGCGTGGTCGGTATGCTTACATGAACCATAACAGCGCTAAATCCCTAAGCCACATGTACTGCCCTGCAGGCAGTACATGATTTAGATTGATTGAAATGTTTACCGTTGGTAGGTCTGTACGATGACGTGCCGCCGCATTCGTCGGTAGCCGTCATCACGCTCCCGTGAATTTTCATGCAGGCATCACCGCTCTTGTGCCGAAGTCGTAATAATCACTGCATGATCTACCGAGGCTCTTATCGCAAATGTGCAAAATTGTAAGTTCTGCATAGTGACATATGCGAATGAATATTCATCAACGTCGAATATTCGAGGAATGTTCGAGTTAGTTTGAATATTCCAAATTTTCAAATGTATGGTTATCGTATCGAATGCGAATATTCAGAACTTTTGAATATTCACACACCCCTATAATGTACCTATTTGATGATGCCTTAACAGTAGGTAAAACAACAAAAAAAAAAAAACAAGAAAAATGGCGTGAAAGGGATGAGGTGGGAGAGATAAGTTACTAAAATTAAATGTAAACATGGTAGGTTACATTGGTACCATGCTGTTTATACACATGAAATACAAATAGTGTTTATATTTATTGTAACTGGCTCTTACTTTATTTTCCAACCAAACCTGCATGTGTGTAGACCATTGTTTTGCACGATACTTAGCTTCATATCATCCTAGAACCATTAGCACTTGATTGATATGTAGGGTTTAACGTCCCAAAACCACCATATGATTATGAGAGATGCCGTAGTGGAGGGCTCCGGAAATTTAGACCACCTGGGGTTCTTTAACGTGCACCCAAATCTGAGCACACGGGCCTACAACATTTCCGCCTCCATCGGAAATGCAGCCGCCGCAGCCGGGATTCGAACCCGCGACCTGCGGGTCAGTAGCCGAGTACCTTAGCCACTAGACCACCGCGGCGGGGCCCATTAGCACTTTCAGTAACAATTAGTTTTACAATGTTGATTCATTGAAGTCATTTTCATGACCCTGTTAAAACTTGTGTTAGGTAAATTGTATATGAATGGACACACATTTTCTGTCATTACACAGTCATAGCTTTACAGTATATGATTGAAAATGATTGCTTTTAGCTGTTGCCCCACTTAAAAAAAAACTATTAAGCATTGAAATCCTCTCATTGCTTGGGCTCTTGTGACAGTACTGCTTGATTTATTTTTTTATAGAAAGACTTTCTTGGAAAGGAAGCTCTGTTGCAGCAGAAGAAAGCGGGTGTGACTCGACGGTATGTGCAACTACTGCTCAAAGATCACGACCCTGACTATGACCCGTGGCCTTGGGGTGGTGAGCCCATCTTGTTTGAAGACCGTTGCATTGGCATGACATCCACCACCTGTTATGGATTTACACTTGGTGGACAGGTACCAGCCGTTGATCTCATTTTCAATGGAATGCTACATATGAATGCTGTTGTATGGAATGCTACATATGTGCTGTTGTATGCTACAAAGACCAAAAGTAGCATCAATGAATGTGCCCCGCTATGTGCTGTAGTCTAGCTTGACTTTGTCAAGTGCTGATGCTTATCATTTTTTCTAGCAATTATTTAGATTAGAAAGGCATGTTGTTGGGCTATTTAGTTCATGGTTTCATAAAGGTTTAAACTGCATTATGAAGGCTGGATGAAAACATGAACACATAAACACACACAGAGCCCAGAAGTATCAAATGACTTTATTTACGGAATGCAGGTGAATTTACAGGTGGCAAAACACAAAGAGCTGGGAACAGTCGCAATTACACAGTAAAAAAAAAAATCAACAGGTGTGTGTGTGCATCATTTATGTGGGAGTGACCTGATGTGTCCATCTAAGAATTCTATTACATCCCTTGATAATGATATCGAAGAAAATCTGACACAGTTATCTCCCCTTTTTGCCAACAAAAAAAAAATGCCTCACTGACTTCACCATCAGCTCTTGACATGGTTTTAAATAGAACTTGGTCTTTTCCAGTTGAGGCAAAGAGCTCTTGCTATCGCACCTCTTGCAATGCAGGGCGAGATCACTGAAAATAGATTAACATAGATTAATAGGCAGCAGATGGCATCAAAACACGGTATTTTAGTTTATGATGCTTCTAACTATAATAGTGATCACTGTAAATATTTTATTAATTTATTAATGTTAGACTGTTTTATAGAATGTTTGTAGGTGAAACATTTAACTAGATACATTAGTGTGCGGTAGCTGAAGCAGGGTCTACTAAATGTTTTTCTGGGCATCTGAGTGGTATGAAATGGTAGCCCACATGAGCAAACAGCCATTTTTCTACATAATAGTTGTGCATTGCTGCATCAGTTAGTGCGTAAAATGGAAGGAATGTTGCACTTTTCATCCTATGCTTTCAAGGTGTTTAGATTTTATTTACAATTTTAAATATTCTTACTGTAAAGAAAAATTGCTTGTTCAGTCTTTCAGATCTCGATGTCCTTGCTGTTCTATAACAAAAAAAATGTAGTAACCAAGTTTTGCAAGTTTTGGAATGGTGCATGTAAATGTGTGGTGCTACTATATTTGCAGACAATTTATTTTGGCAGTGAAGGGAAAGCTGCAGTGGCAGAGCTAAAACCTATGCCCCTCTTCGCGAAGTAGCCCGGTTCAGCTTCCATTTCAAATGACGGCCAAGTTCGAACAATAACCTTGCATATCATTTGCTACATCTGCTTAGACAGCCATTTAAGAGTAAAATTCGTCACAAGCTCGTTCAGCAAGTCGTCAGAATAGGCAATGAGGGCTTACATTTTGACCGTGAGACACCATTTCTGAAACTACCATTTTATCTGTGAGGTGCACATAAAGTGTTTGACGCTTTCACATGTGCCAAAACATAAAATCACACTGCATAAAGTAAAACAAATATGAATATTTCCTTAGTGTGCTGTGCCTATATCTAATAAATAACATCCCGCAGAAAATAAGTAATGTTTTTTTTTAGGCTTGTGCAAATAGTGAGTTTTTGTTTCGAAGCGAATTCGCGCGGAATAGTGATTTTGGTCAAATAATTTCGAATCCAATTCGAATAGTGTATATGGCATATAAAGAAAAATGGGCGTACTTATCATGACCTAACCAACCTGCACAATATACTTTTTTTGGAATTCAAGTAAGGCCTGTATGCCAATGCCATTTTTTTTTCATTCAAAGGAAGTCGAAAGAACTTTAAGTGGCAGCAGGATCTGAATTTCAGTATGATGTGAGTGATAACCTGTAAAATAACTAACATTTTAAAATTTATTGTACTTGGAGCATATGTTAACTTAAAGAAACCCTGCAATGTTTCCCAAGTAGCCATGGTATGGATTCACTAAAGAAGCTCATTGCCTCATGAATTCGATAAGACAGATGCTTGGGCTAGTTGGTGATTGCGAATCGACATATTTCACAGCACAAGACTACGAGTAGCTATGACGTAACTACAGAAGAAGAGACAAGGACAGAAAGAGTGCAGACGCTTTCTGTCCTGGTCTCTTCTGTAGTTACGTCGTAACTACTTGTAGTCTTGCGCTGTGAATTATGTTGATTCTCATGAATTCACCACTGCAAAAATTGTTAGAATCCGCCCGATAAGAGCTGAGTTGCAAAGATTTATCACACCTCACAATTGCTTTCTCTCTTCTCGTCCCAGCAGAAGCATTGGAAGCTAATCAGGGATGGATGGCATGGAGAAAGAAAATACGTCACGCACGCCTCGTGACCCTTGAGCACTTCCTTTCTTTCTTTCTTTCTTTCAAATACGTGCCTTTTCAGTGAGATCATGCAAAGTACGCGTGTACAAATGGTGGCCTCTCGTGGCAGCCCCAGTAACTACTGAACACGCTTTGCTCAAATCAGCCAATGGTTAATACAACTGTAGTTTCTTTTGACCTTGTGGTGTCATTTGTCCAGAGAAAAGAGCAATTATTAGCCGACTTTGAGAATTTATTCTGAATTGCAAGCCATGTGCTGCACTATAATATTCGGCTCGCGTGTTCTCGGTAGCCTCCGCTACCGATCGGCGGCGTTTTCTTGTCATGCTCAAAAAGTGTTGCAAGGCCTCTTTAAATTATAAATGGTGCTTCGCGGCAGAGCGAATTTTCTCTGGACAGGTGCTTTCATGGCTTAGCAATCTCATGCTGCAGTGAAACCATCTCAATAGGCACTTACATGCAGACTAATATACACCTTCCATCTTGAACAAGTTATAGCGTGACAAAAACAAGAATGGGAAAGAAAAAACAAACTATTATTTCCCTATTATATCCCTGTTTTCGTCGCACTATTATTCGTTTAAGATGGAAGTGCACCAACTCGCCCCATTGTCCCTTGTGATGCGAATGCTTTGAAATTTTCAATAATTTGAATTCGGATCGAAGCGAATTTGAATACTCTACTATTCGTTCAAATATTCGGAGCAAAAGCCTAGTTTTTTTATGATCTTCACACAGAAAACATGGACAAAATTGTGAGACTATATTCTTCAGAGGTGGCACATGCCCACTTTGGCTCCATAGGCTTTCCTTCATTGCCAAGGAAAGTTGTCTCTGAGTATAGTGATCCTTGCTGTTCCTCTTATGCAGTATTTATTTATTTATTTACTTGACAATACTGCTGACTCTTAGTGGAGTTGTTACAGAGTGGGTTACAATGGTAAATAGTATAATTGAACTTAATGAGCGAAAACAGTATCATAAAATGTATGAAAAGACATAAAGAAGCAAGGAACTTGAGGTAATCAACTGGCAAGCAACGATTAAAACATTTCCATTCTGTTCATTTCGATTGTGTGTGTATCTTATGCATACCACTTTATTATCATTTGTGGAAAGAAAGAATACTTAAAAAACATGAAAGTCTGTGTCACCGCCAATGAGAACTGTACATGCTTGAATATGCTATTTATGTTGAGGCGTCCTTTAACTATTTTAAACATGAAACATAGTCATGTGATTTTATTTCTCTTTTAGGTATACTTTAGATTAGGTTTCACCACCGAACCCAAGATCGAGACCCTATCACAGCGATTAAAAATAAATCTTACTACATTGTTTTGGTCCCTTTCTAACTTGTTAATATTTACATGAGTGAAGGGGTCCAAAACAATATTAAGATACTCAAGAATAAAACGAGTATTTTGAATACTCGAAGCTTCATGTCAGTTGAGGATTGGCAAAGGGAACGTTTTAGGTAATGCCGTTGAAAAATTGCTTTGTTAGCGATTTCTGTTATGTGATCAATCCAGTGCCGATCACTGTGATGGCTCACACAAAGGTACTTATTATGCTTGATGGGAGAAGGGATGTTATCATCAATTGTGTAGTCTAATGAATTTGTGTTCTTTTTGTTATAGACATGACAACATTTCTTTTTTAGGTCTAATGACATTTGTCAAGCTTGCCATCACTGAAAAAGTTCGTGAACTTTTCGTTCAATTGCAGTTGATTATTTGTAGAGTCAATAATAGAGTATATTATACAGTCATCTTTATACAATCTTAGTTTAACATTAAGTGTGTCATCTATGTCATTGATGTAAAGTATAAATAATAACGGGCCTAACACTCATGCTTAGGGCACTCTCTGGGGTAAAGGTTATGCACTGTTTTCTAAAAGTTAAATAAGAGTGTGTCCAGTTACAGATTGTGCTTATTGTTTAGGATGTGGGAGAGATTATATCTGTTATAGTGTATTGAAAAAACTGGGGTAACTTCTGGAGATAGTTGCTAAGGGCATTTGGCCTGTTCATTCAACATGAACACTTATTCATCATTGATAGGTGTAGCTGGTTCCACATGTTGCCTTTTTTTCATTTATGTCTCATTGAAGGATTAGTGGACTTTTTCCGTGCATGTGTCTTAGCCAGATTTGCACTGGGGCTCAAAACACTTCTTTCTCATTTCACGACTTGCTCACAAGAACAGCATGGACTCTCATCATGCACACACACAAAAAAAAACAACAAGGAAAGCAAGAGCGCAACGTGACAACAACTGCTTTGTTTGAACAACACCATGGTCTAAACAGCGCCGCTCGCCACTCACTCGGCTGGGAGCCATGTGACTGCTCCTGTCATCTTGTGGCTCTAGGGAGCAGAGAAACCAAAGTTGAGCGCAGCGAGCGCACGGCGGTGGCGCTTCGTCGTTACACCTATATTTCTAACACTGTGACCTAGGTCATCCAGTGCACCAATCAAAATGCTACCATGGTAACAAACATGGAACTTCTTTTGGGAAAAAGCAGAGACAAAATCAATGGGCCGAGAGATAAATTTTGAATTCACGAGTGTATTAGCACATACATAACAAGGCTGTTCATGGGGTTACACAAGCGAAAATTGAAGCTGTTGCACAAGGACAAACGTCATGTGTGCAAATCTCCATGCTCAGATGCCACAGGTTAAAAAGCAGTCAGTGCGATTATTATGTGTTGTAGTTTCAGAACTTCTTTCTTTTACAGTTGTATATATTTGCATAAATATAGAAAGTCAACGAGCCATACAAAACAGATCTCAAGCAAAGATTTGTTTTAATAAAGTGATTTTATGGAACGTTTTTCTTAGCCAATTCCAGGTGAGCGCTTGGTTCTGTCACTTTTTTCAGAAGTGCTTCTGGCAAGCATCACTAGGCACTGATGCAGTTGAGAGTGATGTAATGATTTCTTAGCATGATTAAAATACTAAGCTTGTGCGAATAGTGAATTTTAGGCTCAAAGCGAATTCACAGGGAATAGTGATTTTGGTCGAACAATTTCGAATCGTATTCGAATAGTACAGATGACATATGAAGAAAAACAGGCATATTTATTATGACCCAACTAACCTGCACAAAAGTTTTCAAAAATTAAAATAGGGTGTCTATTCAAATGTCACTTTTTTTTTCCCGTTCAAAAGAAGTCAAAACGACTTTGAGTAGTAGCAGGATTTGACCTTTGGCAGGATGCGAGTCATAACCCTTATAATATGTAACATTTTTAAGTTTATTTTACTCGGAGCATATAAGCCATCATAACAAGCTTTTAAGCCTAATAAAATGTATTGATTTGAGAGTAATATTTCTATTTAAAGGGGCCGTGCGACACTTTTTCAAGGAGCCATGGAATAGATTCACTAAAGAAGCTTATGGCCCGATGAATTCACCGCTCCAAAAATTTTTAGAATCTTTCCAGTACACACAGAGCTGCAAAGATTTGTCGCACGCTGCAAGTGAATTCTCTCTTCTCATCCCAACAAAAGTGCTGGAAGCTAAGCCGGGAGGGATAGCACGAGGAAAGAAAATACGTCACGCGTGCTTTCTGAGCTTGTCGAGTCATTTGCCGAGAGAAGAGAGGAATTTTCCGCTGACTTTGAGAATTTGTTGTGAACCCCACGCCGCGTGCTGCACTATAATGTGCGGCTTGCGTGTCCTCAGTAGCCTCGACTACCGATCAGCAGCATTCTCTTACAATGCTCAGAAAGTGAAAGGGGGGTTTCGCGGCAAAACGCATTTCTCTTGGATAGGTGCTTTCACGGTTTAGCATTCCTACACTGCAGTGAAACCACTTTTACAGGTGGTTCATTCAAAATATGCGTCTATTTGTTTCTTGCGAACACTTCGAAATTTTCAGTAATTTAAATTCAAATCAAAGCGAATTCAAATACTCTACTATTCGTTTTAATATTCAAAATGTTCAAATATTTGCTCAAGTCTATGAAATACAAAGTATTGTGATACCGATGTTTTCTTGTGTGTGTGAAAGCAGCTTTAAATGGCCCCTGAACCACCCTGAGGTCGAAATTCAGTTGTGGTGTTGCAGTTCTGCATAAGTCTTCAACACCAGATAACTTTAACAGCTGCTGGAAACTGTGCCATAATGGCAGAGTTATATGCTCGTGATAATGAAAACATGGCTTTAGCTTGTTTAGCTCTTTCTCTCGCTTTGTTTCTTTCGTCGGCTTGTCTTTGCTCCTGACCGAGTGCCGCACCTCACTGGTAGAGAATAAAGAACGGCAGATGTGCATTTCTCCAAGCAGGTTAACTGGTTCTTTTTGTGGATGCCATGACCAGACACAAATGGTGTCGGCAAAGCCAGCTCTGGGGATTCCACAAGGTACAGAGAGGACAAGAGGTCATGTCTAGGAATTTGTAGTGCGTCCACAGCTCTTAGCATTGCCACAATTGGAATTGTTGATCGAGACAGCATTCTTAACTCAGTGGGTGCGTTTACTTAAAATGTTTTAACCAAATTATCGGAGATGGTTTAGAGGCCCTTTAAGTGACAAAAAGAGAGCAAGAATGAGTGAAATGAAACCTAAGGACATCATAATCAGAACCCAGAAGGATTGGATATGTCCAGCCATCTAATGAAACGGCAAGATAACCGATTTAAGGGTTACAGATTTCAAGAGAGGGCAAGCGGGGTAGGGCACAGTAGGAAGGTGAGTGGGCAGATGATGTTAAGAAGCTTGGGAGATTGCGTGGACGTAGCTTGTGTAGAATTGGGTTAATTGGAAAAATATGGGAAGGATCTTTTTGTCTACTAGTAGGCATAGTTAGGCTGATTATTATAATTATAAATTAATGGTACTTCACTATTGCTCAGCCCTGGCATATCCGAATAAAGTTTTGTATTGTGAATTCTTCAATATATCCAATAAAACAGCAAGACTACATACTACTAGCTTTCCTAAGTTTTCTTCACATAAAATCCACAGGAAAGGCAAATTTTCTTGCAGACTAAGCAAGCATATGGGAAGAGCACAGATACACTTAGCTGTTGTACTATGTGTGGTGTATTATGTGATGATAAGCACAGGTATATACCCACACAATGCTAGAAAACCAATTTTTTGTGGTTTCTGTGTTTTAAAAAACTTTCATTAACAGGTGTACACCTGTAGTTCTGTGACCTGCACAATTGGCAACTTGCTGGTGGCCTTGCAGGTGTGCCTGGGCTTTGTGGAAAACAAGGACGAGAATGGTGTGCCACAGGTGCTGACGAATGACTTCATCTTGAAGAATGAATTTTGGGTCGACATTGCAGGCCACAAGTTCGCAGCTCGAGCAAACATTCATTCACCATCTTTGGCTTATCAGGTGACAACCCCTGACCGACTTTACTTAGCAACAAGATGAAGACCTTTGTCGACAAGATGAAGACCTTTGTCGGATGGGCCGCATATGCCAGTTAATGCGTTGGACTGGTATTTATTGTTAATTAGTACTTGGAGAATGGCTTTCATAACAGAATTATGGGCTGATAGCCTTCGCTGTTTTTCTCATAACGCCTGTTGCTTTCTGTGGATACTCTCAGTAGCTTATTTAGAGAATTTCAGTGAATTAAAGTGCTTAATTTATTGAGTTATTACTTTGGAGCTTTGATTAATGATAAAGTTATCATGTCTAGTCATCATGTCCGTACTTTGTGTTTTGTGATCCATATAGTGTTTGTAAAGGTTGTCTGAACAGAAATGAAGTGCCTCGCACAGGCTGGCCGACAAGTTCTGACAGCAACACCACATGATGTGATGTCACTAGCTGACCCTTCGAACTAACCTGCCAAGGATAATGTTGTGCCTTTGACAAAGACAGGTCCACCTATTGAAATGTCGGCCAGCCCGTGTTCGAGTCTGTTATTGTTCAGACAGCCTGTATGTCACATTGCTTTTCCACCTGTTGGTTCTTATGGAAAATTAATATTCAATTTAACTGCTATTTTGACAAAAACTAGTTTTAAAAAAGTGTGAACTATGTGTTTCACTCAATGAGCTTTTTTTTAATAATAAAGGGGCCCTGAAACACCATTTGTATTTCTTCATATATGTATGTCATCAAAGGGTCCTACATAAGGGTACTATATGTGAGGCACAAAAATTGATAATTTGATACCCTCCGAAATAATCATAGAGGCACCTCACTATTGGGCTCTGTTTCTGTTGCTTTGTGAATTTCCTGCTGCAGTTTTTTCACATCCTTCAAGTAGAAGCGGTGTTGAGGTTGTCATGATGCAGCTACAGACTTTTTCCAGTTTCTAGTTTCTGCTACATTAGCGGGGAAATGATAAGGTTGCAAGGCCCCACATAAGCGTCCCATTGGTGCATATCACGGCCTGCCTTGATCATTTCATTTAATTTTTTTTTCTTTCCACTGCGTTAACCACTACTTTCAATTGAGGTGGGTGCTCTCTTCTCTCTATGTAAGATGACAGATGGGGCTGTCTCGCATCACTGCACTCTGAGAGGCCCATCACACAGAAAAACCAATCTTAGAGTGTGGTTGATATACTGGCATGTCATGGCATTCAGTGGTGGCCACAGATTATAGACTGTGCAGCAGAACCAGCTACATGCAAGTGTCGTTTTCTAACTGTACAACAAAGTTGTAGCGGAAGCTTGTGCTCATGTGCTTAGGTCTGGTCGCACTACATGAATATGTGGTGTGTACCAGCTTTGTCTCTGCCAACTTGATAGCTTGATCGCTGAGAGCAGCGAAATTTCGGTTGTGCATTTCAAAGTTCTTTCAATTATTGTAGCTCAAAACTTATATAGGGCCTTTTGCCTAAGCTAAGGAGGGTACAAACAAAAGTCAATGCACTTGTGAGACACCCGATAAATTGCTTTGATGTTCTCAGTTGATTGCATTGTTACTTTCTATTGCTTCCTATTTCTATTTCTTTTTTGGTCTCCTAAACCACCTCTGGCTCTTCTTACCGAGGCTTCGTTGCTGAGGAGCATTTATTTCACCATCAGTTTACTTTAACATTTGATTCAATTGCATACACTATTAGTTTAATTCATTTCAATTCACATTTATTCTACTTTTAATTAACTTTCAATTATATGTGCACTTACTATCAGTAGTAAACACTTGGCTTAGACTTATTACTACAAGCCCTTCACTTACCTTTGAAGCTTTCTGCATCTCATTTGGTGTTGCACTAACTCCTGGACCAGTCCACCTCACTTTTGGTACCATTTGTGTTCACTCGAACTCTTAAAATATTTTTGCTGATGAGCCTTATAATGCTTTCACCACAATATTAGGCATGTATGCCAAGGCGTCTAGCTCATGAGGTGCAGCACACATAAGGCACAGGAAGAGAACTGCCGTTCACTGCCCCGCTTGCATGGGGTTTTAGAGACCACGAGTGAGTCGTAAGATATGTGGCCCCTGGCTGCATACCCCAGCAGCTTCAATGAATAGCTGCAATGTGTTTTTTGACGTAAGCGGGGAAGTACAGTGCTGAAAGTACCCATGCATATTCAAGATGTCCCAAATACACTCAAACCTCATTATAGCAGTCACACCTGCCCCAAAAATGCTTCTTTACATCTAAAAATTTGTTATAAAGGTATATTCATAACACTCTGTATATGACAACTATACTTCACTTACTTCATTATAACCAATAATTTGTTACATCCATGTTTATTATATACAGGTCTGAGTGTATTGTGCAGCATTATTTAAAAAAGAGAAACATTGTTATACAAAGCACACCTAGTGTATTTCACTCCCAGTATACTATAGTTAATTAGTCCTAATTGAGTTTTTAACTTGACAAATATTCATCTAATCATTAAAGTGTCAATGAGGCCTACCGTAAAATTCTGAGCAAGTGCCCCCCTCTCCAACGAAGTCAAAATATCCTTCAAAAAAATAGGAGGGGGGGGTTGCTATCTCTGAAAGGCACCAAAATTCAAGATGACGGCAAAGTTTTTGCACCAAAAAATAAAGTGCGCAAATATTAATTGGCTGGAGGCTGTGAAGTTTCCCGATTGCATGCTGGTGGCTATTTTGACGACCTCCTCAGAAAGAATCCAGTTACTGACGGCACACTCTGTGCCTCTTTCGCACTCAAGGTACTTGAAGAGCACATTGTCCACATGTTCACTGAACACTGGTGTGCTATTACTGAGCTTCCATCGAAGTTTTGCCTTTCCATAGTTTAGCTGCAGCAAATTATCGAAATTCTTTTCCCATTCCTGTATCCACTTCCAGTTGAGCTTGAAGCTTGAAATGTTGAGATGTCTGGTCCACGTTCTTTCCGTTTTCACGATGCCATTGAATAATCTCGATTTTCTTTGCCACTGCATAGGACTGCATAAGCATAGCTGACCTCTCACTGCAAACATAAAGCAACGAACGGTGTGGAGCATGCCTGGAGCAATTGGGCTGCAGTGCAAAACCTGATTGTATTGTATTGGGAGGAGGGGGGTGCACTTTTTTGGAACAGTGCGAACATTAGTTGGGGGGGGGGGGGCATTGTTCAGAATTTCATGGTATGTAGGAATGTTCGAAAGACATCTAACTGTCCTATTTTTCAACAATTGCTAATTATGTGCTAATTTTTTTGGCTGGTAAAGAAACCATTCGAAATATTGAAAGGAACACGCGACTATGCTCCCACCAGCAAAAGGTAGGAGCAAAGTTTTGACTTGCTACCTCACAGTGATCCTTTTTTAGGGTGCTGCTTTCTGATGCACACTGCAGTCGAGTGTCGTCATTTTTCAGATCTTGCGGCCTTTATTTGCCAAAAAAAAAAAGTGAGCACGCAATCATTATGTTGTTCAAAATAGCACAATTAAATGTTAATTAAACATGCCTACATATGCCTACTTGGCATTTTAATGATTGAACGAGCATTTATTGAGTTAAAAACCTAATTAGGTATAATTAACTAAACCTCATGAACAAAGTAGTGGCTACTACAGATTACAAGAAATAATATGCATTCTGTGTGCTTCGCGTAGCAGCGTTCCTTTTTTTTTTTAAATATCATGCTGCATATTTGGCACACCTTGTATACATAACTTGCAAGTACATGCATCACATTTCGGAACTCTGGGGTACGATCCTGGCATATACATCAGCGTCACAATGATAGCAGACGAGACCGAGTCAAGCTGTGCGGCTCTTGCATTTCCCATCGATTCCATACATTGCAATGGTGATTTGTGCAATATTTGACTGCCGCACGAGAAGTAAGTGTAAATTAGATAAAAATAGGACAAGAATCTAGAATGCACTGCTTGAAAAAGGTGATCACAAACCTGTGCGACCGCACACAAAAGCTGTCCCGAGAAGCGTGTTCATGTGCACATAAACAAGAAGAATCTCAAGACTAAACAATGTGCATGTGTGTGGGTATCACTTCATAACAGGCAAGTTTTGTTTCCAAATCTTGTGCAAAATTGTGTCCCACATTGCGTGCGTTACCATGGACTCTGACCCTGCAAACACGGAGGATCTAAGTTCGCCATTCATCACTGCTTCAGTGCTGGCTGCATAATGTTCTGAATGATTCTCCTTCGCCATAAGTGCAAGGCAAACGATCAAAACATGCGCATTACACCAAACAATCCTTCTGCACGAACGTAAACATGGCGCTGCCACTGAGGCATATGTGCTCTATATGCTCGGTAACAGCAGGCAGAAGACAAGAACTGACATTTATTCAAGGTTCTGCCCTCAATGTGTCCAGTCCTAACAGTCTTTCCAACCCCTCTTTGCTGCACGTACATTTTTATTCATTCAACTAAATATGAGTGACAATACTACTACTCAGAAATTAGGCAATGCCTGTTGCATCCTCGAGCTAGTAACAACACTGAAAAGGAAAAAAAAACTATTTTGGGCTGCTTTTAGGAATACTATTTCTTAAGTTTTCTGCTGCATGCAGTGAAATAATACTCCACTCACAGTTACACGGATGAATTATATACAGAATGGCTGGAATGTGGCTTGAAAATATTTGATTTTTTGCTAGTTGTTTGTTCTTGTCATCTGTGCAGATCCTGCTTTCTATACATAACCTAAGTCAAACAGTCCCTGATGCACTTGCCTGAGAAGACTAAAAGGCAAATGCCATCTACTTATTTCTCATTTTCTTCTTGGTCAATTGCATTGATCTCCCCTCCCACAGGAAGCTTTCTGCTGCCAACTTGGTTTTGCAGTGTCTTCGGGTTTGGCCCACATCTGAATAAAAGACAATGTCACGTGATGTCATAATGATGTGACTTAGTTGTGCAATAAAGGATGCAACAAATGATGATAATTTTTGTCTCACTCGAGTTGATGCCAATGGCCATTTTTTGCATGTGATGACATATCCTAGGCTTTTGCCTAAATAACCTGTGGTTGTTAGTGTCATTTTTATCATACAAAGCTCACCATGTCTGACCTGTTGTTCAATTTCGCTCTTGTGGACTAAGCAGCTCAATCTGGCACTATTCTTCGAATTGGCAACATGTTCTTAATATGGTCAAAAAGTGTTTCAAGGTTCCTTTTATGTATCTGTATTAATACAAGATGTCTCAACTAGGCATGGTCTGGAATTTATAAATACTAATGTTGGCTTCATGCAAGTAGTGAACACTGTGTTATGATGGTCATTGTTTGTAACATCGTCATTAGTAGGTATTCGAAAATTTTGCGCAGATATTTATTAGAGTTCAATGAGGTAATGCTGAAGGTGTCATGAACCACTCCACGGGCTTGATTAGAAAACACATCCTGGGGATAGCAGACACTGATGTGATCATCTCAACCAAATCTTGCAATCATGCACAGCAAGGAGAGCTTACAAGCGGTGCATGAAGTTACCATGTTCTCAAGCACACTCTTCATGTAGAGGCCCATCCTCTCTCACCTCAGAGCTGCCAGTGCCCACTGTTTGTCGTCGAACTGGGGGTAGCACGCTATTGGCCAATAGCTGGCATAAATCAAGTGCGGTGTTCAATTGAGATGCGCTTTTTGCCACGGTTGGCACCGTGTGCTGGCAGGCACTTTGTAGTCTGGTTACATAACACAGTGAGCCACACTCAAGCACAAAAATAACAACAGGAGAGCGATCGTTTTTGATCCGATGCGCTCCAAGTCATGATGTGCAGTGACATAACAATTTTTTTCCGCCGTGCCATCTTTTCCGACTTAGCTTCCGGCACACTCATCAGGATAGGAGAGAAAAATATAGACTTAAGATGTGCAACAAATCCCTGCGATTCTGCTCGGTTTTGCTGGACTTGATAAATTTTGGCTGCAATTGATTTGGGAGGTAATAAATTCGGATACCGAAGTCATTTGATGATTACTTTTAAAAGTGGTTCATAAACCATTTAAGTTACCTTTTCATTAAGGTATCAATGCAAATATGGGGAGGGGGGATCGTGAGAAATTATCCACATTATTTAACCATTTCACCCTTTTGAAGGGTGAATGTTTGTATGCATCAAAAACCTGAAACCTGTCCTTTATTTTGTGTCCTTTTTTTTTTTTCTGAAGGTATGATACTGCTTTTGTCACCTTTGTTGAAAAAGAAATACCAAAAGGCATTTTGCATTATTTAATCATGTGATTGATTTGTGGGGTTTAACGTCCCAAAACCACCATTTGATTATGAGAGACGCCGTAGTGGAGGGCTCCGGAAATTTTGACCACCTGGGGTTCTTTAACGTGCACCCAAATCTGAGTACACGGGCCTACAACATTTCCGCCTCCATCGGAAATGCAGCCGCCGCAGCCGGGATTTGAAGATTGCATTACTTTACCACAGCAGTTAATGAGGTATTATACTAAAATGTAATAGATAAGTTTTACATAACTGCTCTCCCAGCATTTATTAACACTGTGCACAAACAGCAAATAGCTGAGCCAGCTTGGCTCTCTGACCTCTCAGTGCTTCACACATAGTTTATCTTCCGCAACAATTTTGTCAGTCATCTTCATTCATTTTTTTTTGTATAGCATAACTGTGAGTATAGCATAACCTTAGCCACTAGACCACCGCGACGGGGCCTATTTAATCATGTGTTAAAATTACAAGGCACAAGAGAATAATACAAAAAGATTTTGGCAGGCTTTATGATTACATTGAAGAAAAGCACACAGAATTACCTGGGTCACTTTAATTTGCCATTACTAGTCATTTATTGACATCCCCCACAACTTTCGCTTTGTCTAATGGATAGGGTGAGTTGAAGTAAAGGTTTGAGAATACGTTTGAGAAATATATTTTCTAAAATGAAAAAATATGTATATATTCTCGACTAGAATGGACACCACCTTTAAAAATACATTGGATGCTGGTCACAAAGTGTTCATTAATTTTAGTTTGAATGGCTGGTATAAAAAAATGTGTCGGACAGTCGTAAAGAACATATTGGCCGTATGCTTCTATGTTTTTCTTTCAAAGATTTACCTCTAATTATTTTGCCACATTTCCATGAAGTACCTAACTGTTCCTGATTTGCAGTGCGCGACCAGAGTAGTCTTGCTTTTATCACTGTGTAAAAAATGTGCCTGTCAAAGTAGCTTTTGTCACTTTATTAATTTTCCAGGTGTATTAATGAAGTATGTGCTTTGGCCTGCCCTACAGTCATGCCTCATTAATATGGACACTTAGCGTCCCTGTCAAAACTGTCCAGAACATGATTTTCTGAGAACAAGCTGTAGTGAAAAGTGAGTCGTATAACTGTTATTGCAATAAGGGACTTTTTGTGTATTGTCATGTACTGTCAAATTAACCTGATTAACCTTGAATGGAAAATAGAAGCAAATTTGTCTACATAGTGCTGGGCATGACGTTTCAGATTCTATTCCTTGCCACAGCAGCCAAGTTTTGACAAAGGCAGAATCAAAAGAACACGCATGTACTCAGATTTGTGTACTTATGAAAGAGCTCTACAAATGCCCAAATAAATTCAGTGTTCCTCACTGTGGCATTGTGGCCTAGGTTCAAATTCCCTCCCCTTACCTCCAACCACCAAAAATTTTTCACATCCATGATATATTATGCACACATGCACGCACACCGAGAGGTTACTTGCCGTGGTGATACTCTGGTTATGCTGCTCGACTGCTGACCCGAACATCATGGGATTTAATTTTGGCTGTAGCAGCCGCATTTTGGTGGAGGCGAAATGATAAAGGCACTCATACTTAGGTTTATGTGCATGTCAAAGAACAGCGAGTGGTTAAAATTTCTGGCACCCCGCCACGATGGCGTCCATCATTACTTTGTAGTTTTGGGACGTAAAACTCGGACAACTGCTACGTACGCAGTGGGGTTGCATAACTTTCCTCGATTGCATAGCCCCTCTCAAAATGAAGTCCTAGCTATGGCCGTGAGTCAGCAAATAAAATTAAAGTCTGCCTAGTTGCCTCGCGCCTAGTCTTGGAAAACTTAACCAAAGTAAAAATTTGAAATCGCATTTGGTTTTCACCACCTTTCACTACGCCTCATGAAACAGATTTCTAGTGGAAAAAATGGATATCTATGGGATCCAACATCTCGAAGTAACTGTAAAAAATGTTGTGAAAAGCTCCACAATATTTTTGACAATATTGGGTTCGATAATGTGTGCCTAAAGCTACATGAGCATTTTTGCACTTTAACCATGTCTGGATATAGACCATGTGATGACTATTGCACGCAGACTCCTGAAGCGTGTTCTGCACATGTTGGAGGTACAGTCATAACTAAAACCATATGGAGTGCATTGGAGCGTGGAAGAACTTCAAAGAGTGGAAACAGGAAATGGTTGATGACGAATGCAAAGAGAAAGACAAAAACAGTGTGGCTGATTTTTTAATGCCTGTAACTTCTTCATTAATTTATTATTTTCTTCCATGTTAAGTTACAAGATTTTGTTAAAAAAAGTGACATGTTTTTTTCCTTGCCTTTTCCTTAATGTTGTCATTTGCATTAACCGCTGGCTTTTTGGATAATCCCCTATAGTGGGTAGGAGCCAGTTTATGGAGCAAACAAACAAGGTAAACAAAAAATAAATAAGTGATAACATGTGGGCGAATGACTGTTCAAGGCAACCTTAAGGCTTTTGGGTTCAGGACACAAGCCTGCGGGCCCAGTAGTGACCATTTCACCCATCAAGATAGGTGCCTGCTGTACCACCCTGCAGTGGTGCTGGTCTTCTAGAAGCTCCAGTTTGCACTTTCCTTCACTGTGCTGCTTCATCGATGCCGTCTCCAACCTTTTATTATAGACTGACCCCGACATTCCAATATGTACTCAATTAGCAAACTTGGCGATGAACTTTCTTTAGTATCCAGGACACTGACATTTATTCTTGTTTGGACATTTTAATAATCTGTTTGTATAGCCACCATTTGTTTCCTCCAGTTATTGGTATCTTCTTTCTTTGGCAAAATAAATAACTATAGGACGTTGTCGTGCCTCATGGTTTCATTTCTTAAGTCATGTAACTTCTTAGCCGTTTTATTTTTTTTAGAGATTTTTTTTCTGTCTATAAAGTTATTCTTTTCCAACTTGTCATGAAATACCTTGGTTCTAAAAAGCATATTTGACTGATGAAAAAAATTGAAGTGCATAATAATTCAAATTAGCTTACTAAATTTATTGTCTCTGCTTATTAATGCCTTTGAAGATTCACAAAATAATGTCTTATATGAGAAACTGGCAAATATAACATGTGAAGTCTTCAAGGTAAACTTCGGTGTGTGAAATGAATAATTACCATCTGATTAGCTGTACGATGACTAAAGACGTGTATATATATATATATGTATATATATATATATATATATATATATATATATATATATATATATATACAGACAGTAATGCCAAGGAATGTACAGGGGAAGTTATTAGAACCAATGGAATGTAAATAAGAAAAAAGAAGAAAGAAAAGTGGATGAAAAAATTACCAGCTGTGAGCAGGTCCTGCTCACAGCTGGTAATTTTTTCATCCACTTTTCTTTCTTCTTTCTTCTTATTTACATTCCATTGGTTCTAATAACTTCCCCTGTACATTCCTTGGCATTACTGTCTGTTATATCTCATTAATATTGTGTTAAAGCACGGAAATACGAGCCCTTAGGTATACACTTCTCTCCCTTATTTCATTGAACGAGGGTCTCGTACTGGCAGACTTGGTGTGTTTAGGTTGTATAAGAGGGACAATTAATCAGCTGCCTGCTCATAATAAGTTCACGTGTTACGTGACGCCAAACATGCGAATAAGAGTGTTTTCACACTCGTTGTTTGGCTTATAGATGGCGCTGACTGTCACTCCT